AGTGTTGGGGTCCTGGGCAGCCTTGGGTCGTTAAATGGGACTTCAGCCCATTGATGGTAGCTTTCATGTGAGAATGATGACAAAGCATGAGAAACCATCAACATGTTGAAAATCGCCCATGTTCAGACAAACCGATGCCCGGTTCACCAGTCGGACTTGAGAGGTGAAACATCGATGGTGAAATAGTGATTAGCACCTGAAAAGCTGATATTTCGAGTGGAAACATAGCAATCTTTGCGTGAAACTTCCATTTTCGAGATAACTGTTGACTGAATTTACATCTCACGACTGCTTCAAATCTGGCTCTGCATGTGAGACATGTCCCAACCGGCGAAGTTGCTCGACGTTTATGTGGGAAAACCAGGCCCAATGAGGATCCAGGATTATCATACTTTCTTCATTTCCTATAGGCATGCCCAGGTTGGAATCCTTAGTCACCCACGTCAAGCCTGGATAAATGGGAACTGTCTTTATATGGGGGGGATGCCCTTGTAGATTCGGAACCTCTTCTAGTATATCATAATTTTGTGATACCGTTTGGGATGATTTCTTATCCCAGAAATTATAATTCTCCCTATTTGGGTACCCCCAAATTAACATAAATCAACCAGGATTAACGTTGTCGACCAGGAAGGAGGACGAGGACCACAGCGCCAGCGGTCCCAATGGTGGTGTCCCCAGCGGTTTTCTTTATATCAATCGTGGAGCCCCCATAAACAACTATATATATAGTAATCCACAAAAAGATAGAAAAGTAACAATCTATGAAAAAAACAGTGATGATTTACGTTTCTATCTTTTTTGGGGCTATATATATATACATATTAATTATATATATATATCTCTATTAATCTTGCTTAGTAAAGACAAATTCCTCGAAAGATTCCATTCACGCGACCCATTGACATGTTGCTAAGGCGTTTCCTCTGAAGGAAAAGCGGAGCGCGAGCCGAAGCCGAGTAACTTGGCCCGCATTTGAATGTCAAAGTGATGAGTCTCGATGGGCCGATGAAGAAAATATATGGAGGTTTCTTACAATGGACCCCAATAGCTGGATAGTTTATAATGGAAATCCTATGAAAATGCATGATTTGGGGGTACCACCATTTTAGGAAACCTCCATATATAGCAACTGTAGATGATGGTGAATCACCCTCAAAGCTTTCAGATGGTTTGAGTTCGATCAGTTGAATCTCAGCTGGCTGTAGGTCGCATTTCTGATATCAGTGGAGCTGCAGAGTGCTGCCAGAATTGGCATCAAAAAATCCAATATCATAATATCATCCACCTCTATCCATTTTTCATTTGAATATTCACATATCCATTTACAATATTATGCATATATATATATATATAAATTGTTTGTGTTGGTTCCGAAGAGCTTCCTGACTCCGCTCAGCGCGCTGCGACTCTGGTTTTAGGACATCCTTCCGACTTTCTCACTCATGGAGGCATTGATTCAGGGGCAGAATCGGTGGGTCCCCGGATCTTTCCCCAAAATTGGGGGGTTTGAACATCAGAAATGGCAGTGAAATGGTGATGAAATGGTAATGAAATGGTGGTAGTGGAGATGTGCACCCCTCATTTTTTTCGGATGTGGAAGAAATATCAGGAGCTCTGACGCGTTTGTTGCTGGGTGGTCTCATCCAACACCTGGTGCCATAGCTGGCTGTCCTGACAGGTAAACTTCTTCAGCGCAGCTCTTCGGCAACACAACAAATCATGCAGCTGGAGCCTTAGATTTGCCGGGCTTAGAGCTGTGAGATGGTTTGTTTTGGCTGAATGCTTTCCAATGGTTGGTATCCACCTCAAAAGCTAACTCTGGACAGGGACAGCCGCAAAATTGAGTTCTTAGTCTCTTGAGTGGTGTTGTCCTCTTTTTTTCAGCTTTGGCTAATTCACCAACTTGACATTTGCCTTTTCATTACCATCTCATCACCATTTCATTAGCGTTTCATCACCATTTCACTGCCATTTCATCACCATTTCACCAACTTGTGGTCAAAATCACCGCCTTTTCCCACGGAATCCCCAGGTTTTGCCATGGGCCAGAAGGCAACACTGACGTGGGCGAGATCAGGTTGTCTGGAAGCGAGTCCGGTAGGCCATCCAGCGATGGTGATGCTTCAGGCAGATGGCAACTGGACTGGTGGAAATGGGATGGGGATTTCTGTGGCTTACCCTCTGGTAAACATAGAAAAGACTATGGAAAATCACCATGTTTCATGGGTAAATCCACTATAAATGGCCATGTTCAATAGCTATGTTCAATTACCAGAGGGTATGTTGCGGGATGTCAAGAAAAAACGAGTTTTCCAGGGGCGGGAAACCCCGAAATGATTTTTTCGTTTCCATCCCGAAATCTGAGATGATTGAGCCCAAAATGAAATTGAGCAAATCAGAGGACAGGACTGGTGGGACTGGTGGGACTGGTGGGACTGGTGGGACTGGTGAGACTTAGATCCTGAAGCCACCAAGCAATGTTCGGTGATCCGTTGTTGTTCGCCATGCCCAGAATGGCCAGGCCCACACGTGGGACAAAGCTCCTCAGGTGCAGCATCACTGGGGTATCCACAAGTTGCTTTCGCAGGTTTGTATTTTGAATGTTAGTGAGATTATTCGAATTTTTTACTCACTAACATTTTTCGAATGATCTGAATATTATCCCATCAACATTTTTAACCACCCATCACGAACATATTTTAGGGATCAGTTTTTCGACCACCACCGCCACCACCCATCAAATCTGGTCCCAGGAGGCTCTCAGAGTTCCAAGAAGGCGCACCGAACGCACTATGCAGGGATCCTTAGGAACTCGAAGCTGGAGCCGCCTGTCACCAGGTGACAATCGAAAAGTATCTAAAAGTTGGAAGATGATGGTTTGTTTGTTTGCCCCATTTTTTTGGCGGATCTATAGTTAACTATAGTAGATCCATGTAGATCCCAGATTTTTTTTTGTTCCACTGGAATCCACTGGATATCTGGCTGAGGGTCCATGGATGTCCATGGTCATCATCCAATCTGTCCAAGGAGTCGATCATCTCCGAACTTTTTCAGGGGAAGGTCGTATCTTGCGTCCACGCCCAAGCTGCTGGTTGCGGGTGTTTGGTTATGCAGTGATGGTTGCCTTGGATCGTCACAGGGGAGATCCACCAGGTTCGCTGCCTTCAATGCAACCAGACATCAAGGCTTGGCCCCTGGAGGGTTGAAAGGTACCCCAAAGTTGGTGGAATCCTTGGTGAAACCGGTGCCTGTTGCTTTGGTAGCTGCCAGGTGGGGGCCTGGAGGTGATTTATTCATTTTCTACCATGAGGGGCATCGCCTGTTGCTGGGGTCCATTCAGGACGTCTGAAGCCGTCTATGATGTCTCTGCCATCGGCTCAGTGAAACGATTTAAGTGGAGGAAACAGAAACATCTGACTCATCTGACTTCCAAAAGTTGGAAACCCTAAGCTCTACCAGCTGGGTGGTAGGAACCATACCCAGCCAGGTCGCCAGGTCAGTTTGCGAACTCTGGAGGTACCAATACCCACCGCCAACGAGCCAAACAGTCCGCTGAGTGCGGATAGTTCACCCGTGTCCGGAGCCTCAGGCGTTGATCAAACATGGCTTGGAACATCCGGAATTTGTTGATTTTCCCAGCTACCCTCTGGTAATTTAACATAGCTATTGAAAATGGCCATAGAAATAGTGGATTTTCCCATGAAAAATGGTGATTTTCCATAGTTACGTTAGTTTACCAGAGGGTATAAACCTCCATCTATAGGAGCTTTTCCATTGCCACCTTTGATTCCCGGATAGTCTTAGATAACTTATGTTCCATGAATTCTAATTCAAACCACATAATAGAGCTACTGCATCTTTAGGATCAGCAAAGTACGACCTAAGCCCAAATAAAACAGTTTGTAGTTGGATGTAATTGCACATGATACTCACTGAAACAATAAAACATATAGTTGGTTTTGTAGTGAATCAGAATCTGATTACAGCCAATTTATACATTGATTAACCATAAATAACAGCCATAGATGAGTCTTATTATTATTATTACTCTTGTTGTTGTTATTATTATATTATTGGATATAATATATATATATATATATATCATAGCCATAGATAGTAATATTATCACCATTATATACCATGATATATTTCTCCATTATATGTTAGTAATATGATTTCCCTAAAAAACAGTCGCAGTTATCACAGCCAAATTTCGAAGCGGTTTTTAACACACGACCGGTCAGGTCACTTCCGGCCACCTCCCCGGCTCACTTGCCGTCAGGGCTCGAGCCTCAGATCACTATCATTCCTTATTATTGTGTAAGATCATAGTTAATATATTGATGATGTATACTACTGAACATTTAAGGTGTATTGTATTATATATATATGTATATGTATATCAATACATATATGTATATGTATCAATACATATATGTATATACATCAATACATATGTATATATATATATATATAGATTTATACATATCTAATAGCGAAGTATCTGTCAATGCCCAAAAACCTTGGCCCAGGTCCGTGGGGGTGCGAAGCTCTTCATGGTCGGGAGTTCTTGGTGGACTTGGGAGTAAGGTGAAGAGCTGGTTCTATGTTTGGCACTCAGCTGTTTCTTTTCATTGGATGGATTGGTTTAAGGGAAAATCTTAACCGGAAACCATAGATTTTCCCACTAAATATGGGGCTTTCATAGAATTGGATGATTCATAGAATTGGATGATGGGACATTTTACAGGAAACCCCAAGCAATTTGATGGTAAAAACCATGGTTTCTTGGTTTAAGATTTATCCCTTAAACCAATCCCATGATTTATGTTTTGTGTTTTTTTTCTCGCTTAGGGTTGAATGATAGGATCAAAGTTGAACGGTTTTGTGCATCCCCTGACTTTGGCTGCCCTTTTGCTTCCATGTTCTCAATATGTTAACTGGATGAAAGCAGGCTATTTTTTTTTTCTGGTGGCATTTTTATCAGCTGTTTTCAGATGCTGAGCAGTGGCAAAGCTGGCAACTGCCCAAAGGACAAAGGTGTCAGTCTCACTGACTGCCTAAAAAGATATTGTGCTCCAGAATACCTTACTGGAAAGGACCGGCGATATGGATGGGATGGACAGGGTATGTCCCACCACAGGATGCTGTCCTATTTTTGGCTCCTTCATGATGGTTGTTTAGCAGCCGAATCCAGCACCAGTGGATGGGGGTTGCTAGGGAGGATGCCAGCCATCTCCATGTCACAGCAGGAGCAGTACTACTGCGAGCGTTGCAAGAGGAAGATTGACTGTGAAAAGAGGATACTCTTCAAGGACTGCTGCTGTAGGGAATGGTACGGGTTAGGTCCGCAGGTACAAGTACTTAGTACTTGTACCATCCACTGTCAGAAAGCCCGCTGAGCCAATATAACACTTTTATTCAAATTTGGCATGCCAAGACACGTTTCTCAAGTCTCTGCACCTTGGCGAAATTGTGAATATCATCTTGAGGAAATTGTGAAGAGAACATATCCTTAAGAGTGTACCATTCAAGTGACAAACCAGATATGGTTCAAGACATGTTACAGCAATATTGAATTTCTGTATTGATATTCCACACCTATCTTTGGTTGATGTCCACCCATTCATCATCCATCAATGCTTGGTTGTAGACACACAGTTGTTGGTAGTGTCTCCATTTTTATGGGAAAAAAAATGATTTTTCATTACACAAGTCTCTCTTTTCATGGCCGAACTGAGGACCTCCCGGAGATTCTCTGCATTCATCTGAAGCGCTTCAGATTTGATAATGCCTATGGTTGGTCGGGTCCTCGAACCACTGGTTTTTGTGACTCTTTGGTGGCTTCAAGCATCGTTTTCTTTCCATTCCGCGCAAGAGCGGAAGACCTTGCCAGTTGACAGCTTTCTCAACCACCAAACAGATCAATGTTGAGAATTCCAACAGCATGAGTTGGAGATGCCAAAAATGGTAAGCCTCGACCTTGCAGATACTCTCTCGTAATCAAACGTGGCAATGGAACATCACACATTTATAGATGATTTTCCCCATGAAACACCATTTATAGTGGATTTTTCCGGTTGCCACCTTTCATTACCAGAGGCGATGTTTTTTTCTTGGTGTCGAACTACGTTTTAGCTGTTGAGCCAAGGTTTGCAGGGTCAAAGAACTCTAGGGTTGTGACTTTTCCAGTGGTCCTGGAGCTCAGCACGGATCTGGAGGATCTGGAAGATCTGTGGATCCCAAAAAATCACCAAAAAAATGATGGGTAAACCGATACCCCAAAGATCCAAAAATCCCATGGTTGATCATGGTGTCTCATTGTCTCATGTTTTTTTCTTCCGCTCCAAAATGGGCATAGGATGCCCAAAAATTGGCAACCTGACACCGAGACAACACCTCTGGATATGTCGCAGTTCATGGAGGAACCTCCAAACCAGTGCCGTGCTCAGATGGAATCATGACTGGTGGTTGTGACTTCCCCTGTAGGAACCCCCAAAAAGATAGAAACAAAACGATTCATCACTATTTCATTTAGTAGGATTTTATATACTTTTCTATTTTTTGGGGGGTTACAGTCAGTACTATACATAAATGATATATATATATATTGGCATTGTATGTTCCCCCAAAAACACCACAAACTTCATATTCCTTGTGCCAAACGACGACCAGACGTGAACCGAGGCCAGTTGAATACAGGCTGAAAGCTGAGTGAGTCCAGTGATGCGAGGGGGACTAAACCATTTGTCCTACCCACCATTGCGAGTGACATCAGTGATATCAGTGATATCCCATTTTCATTACGGTACGTATATAGTTCGATATTCATCTATCAATCCATGACTAAAGCGATGAATCTATCAAACGATCCCATGACCTCCGCATGGATGACCATAGCCGTTTCCAACCAACCAACTCATCAACCAAGGAATCGATCGGTTTCCGTCAATCTATCCATCAAGCTCTTCACCTTGCAGCCTTTGAAGCTTTTCATCTTTTTAGTCTGTCAATAGAGGAATCATGATCAATCTATCATTCAGTCAACCATGCATCAGTGATCACACCATCTATCCATCACTGAACCATTGGGCCCCCATTGGCCATGGGAAACCCGACCGATGACCACCATTCAGCACAGGCTAATTGGCCTCATTCAGCACATTGGCTCCATGGGCGGTGGCCACTACATCGCCTATTGCCAGCACAAGAGAAGAGCTCAGGCCGGCTGTGGTGAAGATCTACAAGACTTTGGAGCCTTTTGCTTCTGGCTGTAGAAACGAACTTAAAGCAAGATCATCCAAGATCATACTAGATCATCCAAGATCTATGGAATCTATGGTGGTGACAAAGTTCGAGTTAGTTGCAGCCGTATGATATGCAGCAGGAAGGGTTTTCACGATCGTTTTCACCGAGCCGCGGCAGTTCCAACAGGACTGGTACGAGTTTGATGACGTGCAAGTCAATCCGGTCATGCCGGAGCAGGCCGTGGCTTGAGTCGGGCTGAGATGGGAAGGAGGAGATTAGCGATCCCCAAATTATGTATAGAATAATATCATATAATATCTAGATCTACTATATATGATGGATGGTTGTAGTAGGAAAGTCGAGATGGTTCGCTAAATGTCCAAACACATATGGCTTTCAGAGAGATCACAAGGTGTGCTTTACGATGGAGGCAACGCATCTCCCAGTTCTGTAGCTGGACCTGTTGCCCTATGGCTCTGGGGTTGTCTTTGCACTCTTCTCCAAGAGTTGAAAACATCTCAATGAGGACTCGACTTTTTCTGGGTAGATAATTCATAGAATTGGATGATGGGAAAATTTACAGGAAAGCCCTATATTTCATGGTAAAAACCATGGTTTCCTGTAGATTTTCCCTTAAACCAATCCATTGAATAATAGAATAGAAGATTGGAAGATGCTGTCGACCCAGAATTTTCTGGGTGGTAGCATCCAGCTGCGATGTTCATGCCTTTAGCCCCCATTGGCTGAATATTAAGGGCAGCCCCGACTTTGGGAGAACTGTGTAGTTTTTTTTTCCACCTTTTTGTTTGGTTGCTACAGCAGCTTCCAACCATAGGTATCAACCAATTGTTGGCATGATCCGGGAACCCTTTGGAAGGTGGAACGCGCAGAACCTTATGTGCTCTTCTACCAGCGTGCCGGACGCTTATCATGTCCACAAGCATTCAGGCCCGAAATCTTTGTCATTTAGTCGGTTTTCAAGTTGAAACTATCAAGCTTTTGGTGTCCAAATTTTTCAGGTGATTCTTAGTTAAAATCATCCACCCCAAAAAATGGATGGTTTATAGTTTATAACTAACAACTATCAAGAATTTTTGTGAGTCCATTGGTACCAATGACTTGAAGCGATTTGGATCCAGTCATGCGCGGGCTGCACCTCTAAGGTCCCGACCCGGGCTGCCAAGTTTGAGCGTCAGACCTTCAAGAAAGACATGCGCGGCATGCAGGATCGGATCGTGCAAAAAAAACTGGTCAAGTTTGGAACATGAGCAGATTCGGACTATCCCAGGGATATCCCAATTCAAATGGCCATAATATAATCCATATAAATATAATATACCAGAATAAAACATTACATAACATGATATCCCATTTGGAATTTTCATTTGGCCAGGGAAATCCCAAATCCCATCATTTGGGCCTTACTTTTTTCCTGTTACCATGTTGGTTTAGTTAGTTCTAGATCGCTCCAGCCAGGAACGTATCAACCAATACCTCCTGAGCATGTCGAGATGTAGGCAGTGGCCACTAGGGCTGATGGATTGAGATCCAGAGGGGGGAGGTGAGGGATTGACCAACAAACATGGGGGATTTGACATCATTTCACCATCAGACAGCATGAAGTCCTTTGGCTTTTGCTTTCCTCCAGCCCTGACACGTGAAAACCACATGTTGGAGCCATACCCTCATGTGATTCGAACAATTGAGGGCACTGACAGGAACAGGAACGAAGGCGCATGGCAGTATCAATGGTGATCCCTGGAATTTGCCAAAATAGAAAGACACCAATTTTGCGCCTGCCATGAGCTGACAGATGGCAAATTTTTGATGTCTGACAGGCCGCAAAACTCCATGAGTGACAGATCCAGCGAGGATACCAACATGCAGGCGCTCTTTCAAGCGCTGAGTTGAAAATCGACATTTGACTGGGGTTCTGACACATTTCCAAAATCGAGTCTGAGAATTTTCACTGGCAATCAATGTCTAAAGCACTGTTCAGCGACAGATTTTTGATGCCGAAGGCTCTACAGGAGGAGATCCGAAATCAGGGACCAGCACTGCTTGGGAATCCCAAGCATCCCAGGGACTTGGGGGATGTGTTCAACCTGAAAGGATGGGGGAAAAATATGGAAAAATCCCAATTGTTTTGATATTTTTGATGGGATGTTTTTGTTTTTTCTCTCTCTTTGTTTGGTGTGGGAAAGATCAGATGGAGAAAGTGTGAATAGGTGAGGGTTTTCTGGATTTTCCTGGTCATGCCAAAGCTGATGGCACGGCCCAGGTCCACATCTAGTGGACCATGCTCATTTTGTTGGTGAGAAGGGGACGACCTTGATCTCCATAAAAATCAGATTCGCCAGTTCCAAAGTTCCAATTCCCATTTTCAAAGCAACATCATCTGCAATCAAGACGCCTATATTAGCCTATATTCCTAGGTCTTGCTAGGTATACCCTCTGGTAATTTAACATAGCTATTGAACATGACCATAGAAATAGTGGATTTTTCGATATTTTTCCATTGAAAATGGTGGATCTTTCCATAGTTTTTTGTATGTTTACCAGAGGGTATTAGACATATTCGTATCAGCCCCATCTCTGCTGGTTGAATCTACTGGGAGCTGAGGCGCAATCTCTTCATCTCCCCAGCACCGGAACTGGATATGGCCTTCGTGTCCAAGCACTGGTGGGGCTGCCGATCTCAAAATGGCTGGGGGGTCGAGCAATGGATATGGCCCCACAAGTTGGGATGTCATCCCAATAACAATATTATAACAGTTGTGTATAGTTATATATATACACAAGTTATATAGGGGGTGACCATATATATATATATATATATGTACATATATACACATACATATATATATATATATACACATACATTTAGAACTGGAACTCCACCCCCAAGTACCGCTTCAACTACCACACTTCCTTCAGATTGGGGGTTGTCTTGTTGTGTCCTAGAAAAAAGCACCTATGGTGCTGCCAGTTTTGAGCTGAGGTATGTGAGATTGACGACCATGAGCCGGCCCGGTCCGTTGGACAACAAAGAGTCAGCCACTGAGAAGGGTCTCTGGCACATGCGGTGGTGGATGTCTTGGTGCAAGGAGTTGGCTGCTGGTCAGGTACTTGTGCCCACATGGCAAGCTCGGCTACTCTTCAGAGCCACACTTAGCTCGCTGTTGCCTGGGAGGTTGTTGAGACATCCCCTACCCTTGCCATGGGTTATCAGCTGCATCCGATCCATTCTTGCACTATGATAGGTAGTCAAGTAGCGAAGTTGCAAAGATAGGACAAATCCCCAATTGGCATATTTTGGGGCAGGAGTCAAACTGGTTGATGATTAGTTCGGTGATTCTACTACCCAATATATTTCGATATTTCGATGATCCAATAGGGGAATCCCCGTTCAACCATTTTGCCTATCCCTTTTTCTGGATTTTATATCATTTCCATTCCCATCTTGGTCTCATGGACCGAGGCAGAGCTGGCCTCTGAGCCCTTTTTCCCCATCTCCAAGAACTTGTCCAGCCAATTGATCAGCCTTGGACACCCAGTTTGGATCTTTGGCGAATCTCTGGTGCTGAAAAAGATGATATAGGGCTGATGTTCCTGCAATGTATTTTTCGGAAGATGATGGAAGATGATCAATAGCCTTTGTGATGTTGACATGACGTTAGCTGAAAAAACTCTTCTGCGCATTCGGAATATGTCTTTTTTTTCATCCTTCAATCTGTCAGCAAACCAAGCAAGTCGAGCCTGGGAGGGTCTGACTTTGATGTGTTTTCTCCAACTTTCTCCACTGGAAACCAATAATCCAAGCGCTGCCCCAGGTCTCTATGGGGGTGGTCCCGAAATTACCTCGCTGGAGAATTGTCCCAAGTGCCAGCCTTGGTGGCTGGCTGTTTTGCGATGGTCAATGGTGAAGCAAACTTCTTGGTAGTGATTCATGGGTGAATTTGAATGAGAAGTTGAATGGAAATGTCAGGATCACACATGTAGTAGGTCGATATAATTTGATACAAATGGGTATATAATCTCCCCTCAACATTAACCCCCCAGAAACTATTGGTTTAGAGTTTAGAGTGCGATTTACACATATATGGGACCACAACAAAATGGTCTGCTTAACATCGGGGATGTTTTTTTTTTGATCTAATTGAGCTGTCATGCTATAACTGAATGGATGGTTCTCCATGGCGACCAAGACCAGGTGCCAAGCGCATATTCTCGCCTACAACTTGCGGAAGCAAGCGGAGCCACTGGGCGAACATGGGGAAGGGTCAGCAGTTGAAGCCCAGTGGACTACAAATTGTTGGTATTTTCTGTTATATAGAATGTATATTTATGTATATGTATATTTATGTATATGTATATTTATGTATATGTATATTTATATATATATATGTATATATATATACAGACATACAATATATATATATATAGCATCCAAAATTTTGGGTGCCTAACTTTGACCCGTTCCCATATTGAGCTTTCTTTGATTCTGCTTGTCAACTTGCTTTTGTGTTTCGTTTTGATCGTTTCAGTCGTTGATTGAATCTCGATTGAATATCACTGTTGGTGCCTCAGGTACGAGATGGTGACTCGCTATGACACAAAGGATCCACAGCAGCCGGTGGCGAATGATGAACCAAGTGGTAAACGGAGTCTGTGCTTAGGCAATAACCGCATCATGGGTTCTGTCCAAGGCCGAAAAAAAGAAGCCATCACTTAGGTTTGCCTAAAACATGTTGCATGATCCGTTGCTCTATTTCTGGCTATATATGGTGGTTTCCATCAATGGGGGGATCCAAAAACATAGCTGGATGTTTTATTTTTTTCCATGGAACAATCCCATTAAAAAATTGGATGATAACTGTGGGTGCCAGGACACTGGCGATGGTCGCGGCTGGTACTTGGTGGATGCCGACTGGGCTCCTTGGCATGCGGTGTACCCCATTTCACCATAAGTTTTTCATAAACCATTCTGAAGATGGTAGGTTTTTATAAACTCATAAGTGATTTTATAAACTTTTAAATGAGTCTCAAAGTCACTTTCGGGTGGTTTCCACAATCTACACCAGGACACAGAGAGTTGAAGATGTTGGAATCCCTTGCCAGTTCTTGCAGACTACGGCGGATATGTAGGATGTTTTTCATGAAAATAGCTTGCTTCAATAGGTTGAAACCATTCATTGGGACCATTGAGCCCATTTGGGTTTGTCTAAAAAGTATAACTTGCAAGATGAAAGAACTCCATTTTCCATTTTAAACAACATGCCATTGGTTGGGAGTGATTTCCAGACACTTTTCCAGACACAACTTTCCAGGTGGATCATTGGAAGCGCTATGTGAAGAGCGAGCCTGTCACCAACTACTGGGACTGGAACCTTACCGATGAAGCAACGACGATATTCTAGCAAAAGGTACATTCACACTCAGGAAAAGAACATCTTGTACACGTGTTAAAGTGAATATACTTGTATATACATATATGCACACACACATATCATATATTATCTCTCTCTCTCTATATATATATATACCTGTAATATGTATATGTAATTATATGTATATATATATACATATATATCTTACATACACATAAATACCCACCTCAATTCTCGCATCCAATGTGGATGATTGTTTTTCATCAACTCTGGCAGGACATGTGCAGCCCGGGGCCCATCCAAAACGAGAAGCTGTTCAAGAAGGAAGATCCCAAGCAGACGAGGGACAACCTGAGGCCACAAGACCAGATGGTTTCAGCTGGTTTCAGGTGAGTTTCACCACCATTTTTTTGGGATGAAAACACAGAGATCTCGATCTCTGCCATGGTGCTGTGAGTATGGCCTTAGGTTGCTTTCTTTCGATTGTCAGTGATTTAAAGCCACTTCGACAGAGGTTTATACGTAGATATATACTGTATATGTATATATATATATGTCTTCTGTACATATATCGAAGAATTGCTCTTGGATGTGGCGTGACACTTTCATTCCCAAAGGATTGAGATTTGGGAATGAGTCACCAATTCTTGGCAGTTTCAATGATGTGAATTGCCAAGGCACCTCCAGTTGTAAGGTCTAGCTGTCTAGCTCAACTGAAGATCCAGGTTGAAGGCGGACTACATCGGAGTGAATGCGTGTGTCTGGTTCTGGCCCTAGTTTTCCGCCGTGCCAAAAGGGATGGGTTAAGACATCTGCTCCCCCCATTCAGCGCCCAAAAAAAACCCAGTGGATCTGTTCATTTAGCGGCTGGGGGGGGTTGATGGTTACAGTCCCGTAGACCAAAGTGTACCCTCTGGTAATGACTAACAGTTTGCTATTGCAAATGGCCCAGTCGAAATCGTGGATTTACCCATTGATAGCATGGTGATTTTCCCATCCGTTTTTTGTATGTTTATCCCAATGGGACGATAACCTTGACGGCACAGGTGGCTCTTCATGCACGTTCATGGTGGTGGTCCACCAGTGGTGCGGAATGACTTGGAGATGCCTTGGCAGGCATGGTTGGTGAATCATATGATCAATTGGAAGGTTGATGATACTTGGGCGATCATCCAAAAAGGATTGCAAGTGGATAGTATAGAACTGGGGTGAAAAGTGATCATTGGGATAATTTATCCACATCTCTGGGGCGTTCGAGCCAGGGCTAGTGACCAGTTGCTAAGGGGAATACCAATCTACTGCATTCTATTTGCAAGGGTTAGCAATCGAACACGATTCACCCTCTCATGGTAAATTGGAGGGTTGGACGATAGAGAGAGAGATAGGGGGGGGCAACAACAAACAGCTTGACCCTGAGAATGGCACATGAGGCAGAAGGAAAGTAGTTTTCCAACCCCAAATTCATTGCTGGGGGTAATCCTTTTCAAATCAACCAATGGTTGCCCACCAGCCTTACATAAATGTAGCTCGAAACGGTTGGTCGGCAATTTGATCATTGGAATTCCCTGCACCAAGCGTATCGATGAAAAATCCAATGATCCCCAAGAGCTTTCCAAAAGTATACATTGGATTATACAGAATTATCTGAGTGGATAGTATACTTGGAGTATAATTTTTGGGGTATACAGAGTACCCCATTTTGAACCAGAGCTAAGTATCCTAAGTAGTTCACATCCCAATGCACACCCACCCATGTTGGCTTTGGATGAATTTTCACTTGTCTCATCACCCAGACGTGACCTTTCAAAAATAGCAAAGATGCTACATCTACCATTGCTGTTTTCTTTCTTTGCATAGAAGGACCTGCTCAATTCATCAACTACTGTACTGTATCCCAAGATTTTGGATGCTGAAAAGTTAGTTACATGTTGAAGCCATTAAACCTAAGAAGACTGGATAAATCCCGTCAAGTTTATCGGGTAAACCACCGTTTTGCTCGGGGAAATCACCATTTTTCAGGGTAAATCAAATTTTCCAGGGTCAATCTCACTTCTTCTAGGGCAATTCCCAATTTTTCCGAGGTAAATCTCCATTTTTCGTAGGGTACATCTACATTCTGAGGTTAGTCCATAAATCTTTCTGAGGTAAATCCATATTTTTCTTTGATCAGCCAAAGTGGCAGGAGATTTCACCTGAGACGCATCTCCTGCCTGACGAGCTTCGCCCTAAGGAAGGCGCGGATGATTTTGGACCACTTTTTCGCACAGAACGGGGGTTCAATGGGAATCACTTGGGGTTTAACGGGTTTAACCATGTTTATATAACTATGAAAAATCATCCAAACTTGGGGTACACCATGAAGATTGGGGGTCTAACCACTGAGATTGGGATAAATTTGGGTTCTAAGCATCAATAAAAGGGAATTTAATGAGAATTTATATAATGATAATTTTGGTGGAAAGTAGTCTTCCGACATCCTATTTGTTGGGGTTCATGTTAGTTGGAGGGAGGGTACGTGTTTTTGAATCTATGAATCTATCAAGAGATGAATACGCACACACACACATGTCACATATAAAATCATATATATATATATTATATTTATAGAGTGTACATATTGGATAGACTGAAGAAGAAAAGAAGGTAACACCATGACCTACAACCAACAGGCGATGCAAGCATCTGTAAATGGGAATGCGGCCAAGAAGTAGGGTTGCTACAAGCACAGAGAACCGACAAGGAGCAATGCTTCAATTGCTAATCATTACTAAAACAGCTAACAGTGGAAGTCCACACTATTTGCATTGAAATGCCTGTGCAGATGCTTTCGTTTCGCTAATACACCTGATGACTTGCTGCAGGTGATGACTTCTACATGCGCACATCGCGGGAGTTTGTGGAAGAGTGCGGTGGTGATGAAGAGCCTTTGGGCAGCACAAATGATTACAGCCTTTTCCGTTGTCAGTGAAATATCTGGTTGCAATCCGTTGCTTTTTCTTGTTGATGGAAGGTTTTGTAATGTTTTGTATGTATAGATATACCAATCTCATTGCCGAATATGCCACATTTTGTTGGCAACTCACCTGGTTGCGTGGCTTAAAAAATCCCCATAGATGTGTTGATGGGTTTGCGGAGGCGAAAAGGGGAGCTTTAACTCCTATAGTAATGTGCAACAAGTGTATTTTCCCGGGCTCAGAGAAGCTTGAGCAGGCTCAAAGATGGCTCTCCCCAAAGTTGTAATATATGCAATTTGATCACTCCTCTTACCAAACCAAATTTGAGACACCCAGGTTTCACCTGGAGCCATTCATAGAGGATCCGGAGCCCCTTTCGAAAATCGAACTTTTTCTCAGCCGCGCAGCCATCCTCATTGCCTCAGGCTGTACAAGAGCTTGTACGGAACAAAGCACCTGCAAGGTGCATTAGTTTTGGGCTGCGAGAAATCCAATGGATTCGAGACGTAATGGGAAAATCATGGGACATCTATCAATTTGATGGGATATGATATAATTGGGATAGAATGGAATATAACCACTATGGGGTATATGGTGCCTGAAAGCGGGGCCTACCCGGCCTACATTTCCCTTTTTCATTTTAGCGCTTCCTCCATCCTGCAAAATTGCCGTCAAAGACATGGGGAACATGATGATGAAGCAGTGGATTTAGGGCGCCCCTTTTTTGGTGGGTTGTAGTTTTTTTTTGCCATCCATTTTGGACTCTGGAACATGAATTCTTCTGCAGGTGATGCTTCACCCGACTCGCAGCAGCCCGACACATCTGCAGGAGTGTGTCCATTTTCGTATCCCAGTTTTACCCGTACCCAGATGCTAGGAATTAGGATTGGAAGATATCCGGACGGGACTGAGATAGCCAACTTTATGTGGAGAATTGTGTGGTGATTACCATCAAATGGAGATTACTTGCAACTCGAGTTTGAGTTAGATTGCAACGTAGCAAACTGCGCCTGAATATGCCAGTTCCAAATGTCAGCAGCCACACATCAGGGTCAACAACTTAGATTGCAGGTGGAATATGAAAATAGTCGAACACATTTTTGGAGCTCAGACATCATAGAAGCCTTTGGGTTTCGTTCGGGACTGACAGCAGACAAGTGAATTTATCATCTTCCAGCCGAGGTTCTCCAACCTTTGTTGGTTAGATCTAACGACTTTATCGATAAACTGAACCACCCCATTTTGCTGGTTGCATGGATGTATTTTTGTTTGCCCCAGAAAAAAGGTCCCCAGCATTCACCAACTTAGAACTGATTTTTTGGGTGAATGATCTGACCAATCCACCAATTCAGAGTTAGAAATTGGGGGATATTTGATATGTACCCCATATGTTCATGATATCTCCTAAAGTCCCCAATATTCACGAGTCCAAAAAGAGTGTGCCATTAGTAAGTAGATATTCCACTACATATGTATTCCCCATAATATTCGCAGGGTTTCAGCAGTTCACCCGCTGGGAAATCCATCTTGAGGAGATGCAGAGAATGTACCGGATGTGGAGCTCACTGAGGAGGTGGATGGTCAGGGATTGATGTACAGATAGATGTGCACTGTACACAGAGAATCACGTATATATATATATATATATGCATACACAATTATATACAATTATATACAATTATATACAATTATATACAATTATATACGATTATATACGATTATATACAATTATAATACACATAGATAAGCATATGTACACACACATATATATATATGCAGAGATAGACATACTACAGATATCGTTGGAATGATCAGCCCTCTATCAGGCAGCCACAGCAGCTGCTGATGCCGATGCAACCGTCACTGACTCCAGGCTGCCAGAACTCGTGTTGACTGCTGGCAGTGTTTTCTGCTGGAACTGCCAAAGAAACTTGAGCAGAACAAATGACTCGTGATGTATTACGAGCAGATTTCCGAGTCCATTTTGGAACCTCAGCCAACATCTTCCGAAATATGTCTTTCCACATACTTTGACTTAGTTCTCAGACCCCCCTTGGGGCTGTTTCAGGCCGGACGATCTGCCGGACGGCTCGCCGCCCCGCGCGAAATTGCCGGAGGAGGCAGTTGAGGTTCCAGCGGTTGAGCCGCTGGAGCCAGCAGCTGAAGCGGTGGAGGAGTCGGCAGGTGTGGGCACCCAGCTGGGGTTAGATGATGGCGTGTTCACGCACTGTCTGAAGTGTCAAGCCTCTTCTTCGCCAGCATCGCCTTTTCCACTCACGCAGTGGCGAGTGCAAGGTGCACTCATACGGGAGGGGAAAACGGATTCAAAACACTACACTGCATACTGATTTCTAAAGACCCTACAATTCTTGAATTTTGTGATCTGATATTGTCGGGCTATTGCACTCTTTCTCTCTCTCTCTCTCTGTGTTGCCATGTTGGACGGAGTTTGCAAGATCCCCCGTCTTGTTTTGATCATGCGTCCGGTCCTGTAGTTCACGGCGCTTCTCATCTAGCATCTGGTCCGTTGCCCGGGATTTTATGATTTCATGGCAATTTTGCCGGGAAAATGGAGAAATGAGTTTTGAGCTCAGAAACTCCAAGGATTTTTTTGGCCAAGCCATCCTACATCCGTGAATTCAGCTTGTTTGCCCATGTTTGCCCATCTGAATCAGTTTTTGACACATAACCATGAACAATCCCCAGTTTTTCCAGAACTTTTTGTGGTTTTGAACCATCCCAAAGCAGGTTGTTTTCTTGGGTTTAACGCAGTACAAGGTGTGTGGACTGGAAGGTTTAATTTTTTTGCACCTCAGGAACAAAACGTAGAAAAGCATGGAAAGAACACTTCCCCAAAAGGAGAGAACTTGTCTCATGGGTATTGAACCCCCAGAAAGGTGATGCCCAAATAATAGATGGGACTGATCCCCTTTTACATATACTCCACATACATGTTGTTGTTGGTGGTCAAGATTCTCCCCCAACAACCCCCCAACATTGTTTGGGGGTTCCCCTGACCCGGGGCGTTGACCCGAGGTGATCTGCCGGCTTCGACTTCCCCGACCTCGGCGAAGCCGCCCTCCGATGCCGTGATGCAGGAGATGGACGAGCCGTGCGAGCCCTCAAGTGGGTAGCCTCGCACGCCAAACAAAGGGCTATTTTCACCAGGAGGGAACGCATCTGCCGGGGATTTTGCATTGCCATGTTTGGTCACTGGAATATTCAAGGCCATAGCATTTTCTTATGCAAAAAATCATTGATGAATTTTCCAACGACGGCTGTCAAACTACCCTTGCTATGTCAACAATTGCCTGCTTGGTATCGCTTGGCGTAAAAATCCAACTCCAACATGTGAAGTCAAGGTCATGTCAGGAGCCTCAAAGTTCTTCATAGCCTGTGGCTCAGAAAAAGTGCCGATGCAGCCTTTGTCCATTGCTGGTAAGTGGCTGATCATCCACTGAAACTTACACGCCAACGCGGCGTACAACCACCTGTACCTAAGCTGAGGCCTAAACACCTGTTGTTTGCTGATTATATGGTGGTTCCACTTGTGATCTCCACCAATGGCTGTTGGAAACTGCTAAGACCCAGGCAATGGGCTTCGCTGAGTGGCCTGCTGGACCTGGGAATGCTTCAATTTTCAGGACCTCCCCAGATCCATCGAAAGTCGACGCCATCGTTGGTTTTTTTTTGTTGGGGGTTCAAGAATTTCAGAGCCATCCCAACCCCTCGGATTCCGTAAGAACATGTCGTTTTTTCAGACTTTTTTCTGACGGAGGGGTTGCAACAATTAAGCGCCTTTTTAGGGGTCCTGAAGGTCGGAAGAGATCCCAGGTCAGCCAATAGTTTGATAAACTGCCAGCCTCAGAGGTTGCTTCGCCGCCCGCTCCCCTGCAGTCAAATGTGGCTGCGGATGTGGGAGACGGGCAGCTGAGAATCCGAACAAGTCCCACCCCTGAAACCTCAATTTATGGAACCCCTAAGATGGCAGAACACGGCCAGATATTACATTCATATCACAGTTGATCTCTTTTTTCAGATTCCATCTCAACCAATTGCAGAGTACTGATACTTCAACGAAATTTTCTTGCCAAGTCCAGGTTGTGATTTGACGGAGCCTCAGGAACACTTGATTCGGCTGGTTGGTTGCTATAAAACCACCAGCAATAATTGAATCAGTTGCTTGGTTGATTACTAGGTGTGATAAACCTTGGAGAATGGTTAGTTGCTGATGTTGCTGACGTTGCTGATGATAAAAACAGTATATACATATATATATATATACATACACATATATGTATTATTTTCTAGCTGTATATGGAGGAATTATGGTGTACCAGTAAAAAAAATCTGTGTGAAGCCCAACATGCACAACCTGATAGACGAATCAATAAACCTTCAAAACTCCAAAGGTGGACAACCCAACCCAGCACTACTCATTGTGAAGATTCCCAAATCCTTGGTGCCAGTGCGAGTAGCATCTCCTGGCAGAGTTGTGCATACGCTTCCAGCCCCACGAAGGGCAAATCTGCAAGGCGGGTGAACAGACCATCGATCAGCCTTTGCGAAAAGCTCTTGGCTTCGAGATGTTTGAGAGATGGGTATTTTTTTTCGGCGGAAGATTGGAGACATTTGGAGACCCCCTCTAGACAAGCAAAGGGGAGAATTCCAATGGGAAACGACTGGATGGGCTCCCATTCTTGCCACATGTGCCAAGCTTTGGTGGGGAAAACAATCAAATAGCTTTAGTGAATTTGATTGCTGCCGCTGCTATCGCTGCTCCAGCTTTTTGTAGTTAGTTTGCACACCCCCCCAAATCCATGCAGAACATCTGGGGTTCCAATGCTAGGCCATGTGGTAAAATCACGGCTTTGTTAAGGAAGGCTCCATGACAGTGCAGCAACACCCTTCAGCCATTGAAGTTGATGCAGATCTAGTACTGACAGAGAGAAACAAGAAGTTATAGATGTTCTCAGTTGGCATCCTGTGAGACGATGGAGGCCTGGATTGCTGGGAGGTTTCAAATGGATGAGGGAACTACTAGACATGACAAAAAAGTGTGGGTCCGTGGCTATTCCTTTTGTGAGCCACACCCCTTTTGCAAAGTTTGGAGTTTGCTGGTTTCTGGCCTCACTTCTAAGTGGCATATTTCACCCGAAGGTCCGGTAAGAACCAGAATTCATTCCACCCAAACCTGCGGCCTGTTGTCTAAAGACCCAGAGCCGATTGCCTGCGAACTCTTTTTTATTGGTCTGAACATAGGATACCCCCGAATCCATCATTTTCACCATTAGTATAGCCTCTGGTAATCTGTTACATAGCTATTGAAAATCACCATTTATAGTGGATTTTCCCATTGAAAATGGTGATTTTCCATAGTTATGTAACAAATTACCAGAGGGTATGCACTATTTACAGAGACACCCTTTGTTTCCCGGCCACCAGTTCTTTTCTGATCCCCTGGCAGCTCCCAGATTCGTTGTCAGGCCACTGGACGTCCCGACCTCATGTTTAGACATGGCGTCTTTGTCCACCCCCAAAAAGGTGATTTGAATGATATCTGGTTATTTAACATAGCCATGGTATAGATGGCCCATAGAAATAGATGGTTTACCATGGTTTACCTATTAATAGCATGGTGGATCTTTCCATGGCGAACTGTTAGTCATAACCAGATCGTTTTTCTCTACGAATCTACCCATATCTTCGAGGTCCCTCACCACCGGAGCATCGTCCAGATGGAAATCAGAGGCTGGCTCGCCAAGGGCCTCCGGTCATCAGCTCCATGGCTGGAATTGTCCCCCATTGAGTTCGAGGATTTTTAGGTAGAAACCTCCATTGAGTTTGGATATTTCCAATTGCCATCTTTGATTACCAGAGGACATATTGTATATTGATGTGGTATTTGTTGTCTTTACATCTTACATGCATTTACATACCCTCATATATCCCCCTGTGACACTCGTCAATGAAACAACGCCTGTGTATTTTCTGGTTTATTGCAAAATGCTGTGATCTTCACCCCTTATATGATGATCCCCAAACTAGACTGTCATCTTTGGGTCGGTCCGAACATATCAACAGGACAAACAAAATTCGACAGGACATAAAGCCAAAACCTGATGCTTGAAAAACATTGAAACACCACATTTTTCTAACTGATGTCTATCAGTGTATCACCATTTTCCCTTATGAAACACTGTTAAAATGGTCAGGCCCCGCCCAACGCGGCGGCGCGTCGTAGTGAAGCGAAAGGCGCGCAACTGGGGTTGGTTTGTGAAGTTTGGTGATATCCCCAAAAAATTGGATGATGCACATTAGATGGTTTAGGCAGTGAAAGGTTGAAATCCAAGCTGTTTTCCAAAATCTGGGGACATCGAATGATATATATATATGGCTGTGTCTGAAAATAGTGTACCCCTAAACCCAATGGTTTTGCTGATCATTATCCCTATTAAATGGCTATTTCATTGGGAATATACCCTATTTTCAGACAAACCCATATATATTATATACTTATTATTCATCATGTTTAGTGCTATTCTCCTTCATTCTGTGAATTGATGTTTTTTTGTGCAGCTCCACCGAGGTGTCCAATGCGACTTATGAGAGGCACAAGGCGGATACAAGTTGATGCGGATTAATAGATGTACTGTAGATGTTTTGGAGTTTGATTTTGAAAAGAAATCTGGGGATGCAAGTGACTACAGTGAGTGTCTCGCTTTACCGGGTAGAAAATGACCTGTTGATGGGGGTCCCAATGATGTTTTTCATGGACAGGAGCAGATGGAGCATTTGGGTTTGGATCCCACAGATCCACTCCCTCCACAAGAGAGCATGGAGGATTTGGTGGGATTTCAGTGGGACAGGGGAGGTTTCATACACCAAGATCAGTCCAATGCATCCAAAAAGGCTATAGCGGCTATGTCAGAAGATGCTGGGGACATGTTGCATGGAACCCTAAGCTCTCACCTGGTAGCCCTGGTAGCATGTAGTCACTGTAGTCTGTTCCAGCAGGCAAAGCGTTCATGGTATCCCGATCGCGTTTTTGGGCCTTACATCATCTTACATCCACATATTTTTGCAGAGAACTCTCCTTAAACAATCATCGGATGGGTTCAGCTATCAGGTCATTTATTCTAAATGTGAATAAAATGGAATAAATGAACTGAATAACAGGTCTTTCATTCATCTAGTCAGCTTTGTGATGGGATGCCCTCAATCAGTTGCGATCCCGGAATTGGGAGCAGTTTGGAGCGGTATCCATATTCCCTATGAAATTGGCCAATTTCTTAGGACATACCATCAAAAATATCATGAAATATCCATATTTCCTGTGCTACTATCAGAAATTCCAAGCATCTGATAGTCGTACAAAACATATCGGACACTGGTTCTGTTTTTTTTTTTAAATCTCTTTTTGAGACATGACTTAGAATCATTATCACAAAAAAAACATCATGTTGTATATCCCATGATATTCCCATTCAATTCCCATTACAGTTGATGTAACAGTTGCTACAGTATATCATATATATCCCAGATATCCCATAGATTTTCCCCTGAGATATCCATGGCGTTCCCATAGGATGAACTGGACGATCCGGACGTGACGGAGCAAGACATGCCGTCCCTTGGCCTCAGGGGTTTCACCATCCCATAGATGGGGGGGTTCAATGAGGTTTGGCCTAAGGTTTCATCATCCCTATTAAAATTTTAAGCCATAATTATCTGGGATGGTGAAACCTTATCCCATAAATATTAACCCATAATTATCCATATTAACACATAATTATCATTCCCAGGTTGTATTACCCTCTGGTTATGACTAACATAGCCATGGAAAATCCCTCATAAATGAAGGTTTCTAGCTGGGAAAATCATCTATTTCTATGGGCCATCTATACCATGGCTATGTTAAATAAACAGATGGTAACTATGTATCCCTAATAAGGTTAAATAAATATCTGGCTTAAGCCATATATTTGCCTGGGTTCAATGACAACCAGACTAAAATGGGGATACATGGGATACAATGATATTTGTATACACATAAAAAAGCGTTTCTGAAACCTTTTCTATCTGGGGTCTATGCCGGTGTACTTTTCTATCTGAGGTCCATGCCGGTGTAATTGTATACAATACCGCTGCAGAAGAACAAACACTGCTTGCTTAATAAGCCCGGATTATGAATGTTAAGCCTGGTTGATTACTTCGCAAACCCTGTTCCCCCCCAAATAGTGAGGGTTCCGATTATGGGATAGTTGATGAAGGATCAGGGGTTTCCTTGGTTCCCTCCAAATAGTGAGTTCATCTGCTACTAAGCTGTGACACCCTGCAAGTAAACAACCCAGGGGTTTATTCATCGAGGGAAACCTGGAGACAAAATCAACACTCGTGGGACTAGTTGGAGGAAAAACCAAGGACAATGAGAGTCTAAATGTCGTAGAACAAAGTAACATGCAGCAGTAGGCATGATTGGTGTGATTACAGTGACAGTTTTTTTTTCAAAACAATCAGTGCTAGAATGTGCTGACTGCAAAGAAACTTTGGATTCTGGCAGCGAAGTGTGTGTACTTTTGTCCAGAGGGGAACATCCCAATTTAAAGACACGGAAGCTTGGGAAAATTATGATAGATCATTGAATAGAATGGGGTATCCTTTTGGTCGATCTGATGAGAACCAATGTTTGAGACCCTCAGACTCTAGCCTAGACTGGGTGCTCACCGATTTTACACACGCACATAATTAGATAATATTAGATATATACTGCTTGTATCGTATGTAAAACTAGCGGATCCAATTTGTTGAAAACAGAAATCCCCTGCAGCCACAGTCTGCTGAGGCCACTGCCTCCACAACAAGGCATCTTTCCTCCGCCAAGTCCCATGAAAGCCTCTCCATCCACCCAGGCACCGAAGTCCGCTCCGGTCCCACACGATTTTGGTCCAAAAACTAGGAGAATCCAACCATTGGTTTCCCTGAGGCCGTGAAAATTCAGTGGCTGGAAGTTGTCACTGCAGATCCCCTATGGATGAGCCATGGACCACTAGAAATCGACTTTCCTCTGGCAGGTGATGCAAGCAGCATCGAAGGCACCAAATATGGACGTGGGGAATGGCACCCTGGAACCGTGGTTCCATCCCCTACTGTTGTTGGATTGGAAAGCTGGTTTCATTAGTGATCCAAGCAAGTCCTGGATAAAAACATCAGGTCAATTCCCCAACTGTGTGACGGGATGGGTATGTCATTTGTTGTTGGCCAACCCCCCCGGACCTTGGTCCAGAACCCATTCTCAGGGGAAAGAACGGAAGACGGTGAGCCTGAAGACCCGCACGCTTGAGGAGCAGATTGTGGCCGGCAGGTGGGCGAGACATTGCTTGACACTGTTTTGTTGTGTGACAGCTGCCCAAGCGAACGAAGAGGGACGTCGGAAGAGTCAATGACAATGGATGCTGATGTAAACTTTCATTTGGTTTCAGCTCCCCAGAAAATCTAGTTTCCAGATGTTTTCACTACTTTCATCTCACTAAAGATGACCAGAAAATCTGATGACACCAGAAACCACAGACCTGGGAGGTACGAGCGGGCTCTTGATCGGTGGGGACAGCAGTTGCAGCCTCAGCGAGCCCAAGCCGAGCCTACGAGTTTGGGCATGGACTGCATCCCCTATGGGGGATGGGACATCCAGGCAGATCCACCAGGTTTTTTGGGGACATGGGGCATCACAGCATCACATGGATTTTTCGATCTTTTTTGCTCCCCAAATAGCTTTGAGGCAGCAAGAATGGGAGAAGTTCCGACATCTTGCAGCTCGAAAGAGCCGATCTTAGCTGCAGCGGTGGAACCGGGGAGGCGGTTGAAGATGATCCTGCGAATTGCATCAATTTATAGACGTCCACAAAAAGTCTTAGAGAAAGATCAAATGAACATCGTGGAGATCCACCTAAAAATCTTTCTCTAGGGTTACCTGAATGCGTGGCTCCACGAAAATAGTTGAAACCCATCAGCTGCCATGTTCGTAGATGATGTGGAATCCCATCAACCAATCGACATATTGCTCAAAAAATCAAAATTTAGTTGCTAACATCTCCAAGTTTTGCATGTTTTTTTCATCCTTGAGATCCTCAATCAGCCATACCAGCCATAGGATCTTCTAAGCCAAATCCTGGCGCCTTGGCCGAGGACAGGCAGAGACAAGGAGGAATTGGTCGTGACCCGCGCCGAAGAACACCGAGAACGGCTGGAGGTGATGGAACTCCTGGACCGAGCCGGATGCCCAAAGGCTTGTGATGACTCTGCCAACTGAGTGGTGCTATGTTTTTACATAGATAGTGTATATATATATAGATACTATATAGATATTATAGCATTAAATATCTACACGTTACATCACGAGGAAATTTCCGATCCTCCGAGATGATGATCTCAAGTGGCTTTCCGGTCTGTTTCTTGCAGAGAAGCCTTGATGCTGGGACTTGAGGCCACTCCCGACGAGATTAAGAGTGGTGGCCATGTCCTCAGCAGACGTTTTTTTGTCCGGGGCCAGTGAGGGCAAAATCTAGGGGAGACTATGTTATTTGCCAATATATATATATACATGTATATATACATATATATATATATGTATGTATGTTTGGATACACATATTTGCAGTTTTATTTCTTTCTTCCTGTATTTCTCTCTTTGAACCATGACATTTAGTTGTTTTTTGTGCTTGATGCTCCTATCGGGCCCAGGTTTAATGATGTTTGACAGTTTTTTTTGTGATTTGGGAAACCCTAAGAAGCAATCCAGTTGGAGGGTGCCAGCATCGCGTCGCTGGCAGTTGATAGGTGGTTCATGATTGCCATAGATTGCTGGGGGTATAACTCGGTATAACCCATTTATATCTGGGTGATACGATGCTTATCACCACCATCCGATCAGATTTGGCTTCCCTGGCTTGTCTCAAGGGTTGAGCAGCGAGGTTTCAACTGGTATCATTCACTTCGTGGTGAAGGGACCCGCTTCATTCAGGTGGCTTTTTGGGTAGTTCCCCCGCGGAAAATGGCAATTTTTTGATGGTAAGATGAGGATTAACCGATTTACCAGTGGATTTATTGGGGGCATACCATTGTACACCATTTTTATTTGAAGAAACCCACGACATGATCGTGTCCATAGCTGGTTGCTGAAGATTCAGACCTTGAAAGGGTACCCAACCCTGACCGATACCCCACATGTTTCGGGTCGGGATGTTGCAGCCTTGCTCCACTGGCAGATTGGCAACATGTTCTCTGGACTGTACCTGCCCATGAAGCTCCACAAGGTCAGGGGGCCATGCAAATGGCTTGGTGGTTGACTGAGGAGTTCAGTGTGATAAGCCCCCTCAACATGGAGGTTGATGAGTACCTACTTGCCAACAAATCCCCAGTGTTTCGAGTGATACGTCATCTGTAATGATGGGAGTTTTGACCGTGGCGAGAATCCCATGAGCTGAGATCAGTTGGGGGCCCGGTCAGTTGTCCGCACGGCACAGGAGAATTATGTCCATGAGATCATAAGGTGCGATGAATGTGATTGGATGGGCAGCGAGTGGATATAGATGGGGAATGATTGGGGGTATGGTTGTAACGGGGTTTGGATAGAAGGGGCTCATGATTGCAATGGAGCCTTTCATTCTTCACAAACGGTCCAACTCTTCAAGCAAGGCCAAAGATCTAAGTCCATCTGGGGGAATGATCCAAATTTGTCCAACATGTCATGGTGATGAACATCATCCAAACTCGTCAACCTTGGAGGTTTTGACTCCCAGAAGCTGCCAGGAAACCCCTGATGGTGGACCTGACCACTGCGCGGCATGTGGTCCCAGCTGAACCGAATTTCACCTGGATGATGTCTATTGGATGAAGATAGATCAAGAGTTGTAGCTTACATTTCCAGCATTTCAGCAAGATCAATCAATGTCCCCAATTTTCGTAGAAGTGTAGATGTTTGGCAAGTGGAAATCCATTATTTATAGTATTTAGTTGGATTTTCCCAGCTATAAACCTCCATTGAGTTCGAGGAGCCAGCCATGTTTGGCTGTTCGGATCCAGGCATGCAGCCGAAGCCTCTGGTCGAAGAAGACCCCGTTCCTGGAGGGACGATGAGTGCGCGATGGGATGGTCCCATTGGATAGTACTACTGGATGGTAACTGATATGAATGGGATGATGATGATGATGATGATGATGATGATGATGATGATGGGATTTAGTGGTTCGAAAAAAAATCTAAAAACCTAGGGCTTTTCCAAAGAAGCTACTGCTCTTGCGCTCAGCGACGTCAGCGAATGAGGTACTTGTTGACTCGGATTCGGAAGTACGGAGGACGAATGAAGGAGAAGCAGCAGCCATTGCGTTGCAAGATATGCAAAAATTGTTTGGACCTGCAAGCAAATTTCTGGTTCATGGCGTGTTTGGAAGCCCGAAAACCATATTGGTTGCTCCCCCTCTTTGGTTTTGGGCACAGTCACAGTCCCAAGGTCGCCAAGTTTGAGTTCACTTTTCTTGGTACTGAAAAGGTAGCTCAACAGCATATATATATATATATTGCTTGCCAAGTAGTGTACAGTGTAAAATGGGAGGAGTTTTTCTTCAGTGATCTCCATATCTGTGTGAGAATCATGGATTTTTCAAGCTTCCTTGATGTTGCAACCTTTCAATCATTTAGGTGTCCCCCGAAAAGGGGAATCAACTTCAGCATTTCACCATTCCCAGATGGTGGCTTGCAGCTTCTCTGTCGCGCAGTGGATAAGGAGATGGCTCCAGGGTTGTTGGAGTACGACGAGATTTTGGAGCCCGAAGTGAAGAGTTTGCACCCCTCCGCAGCGGCCGAGCCAGGCCGGTGGTGGATGACTGAGCCGATTTATCGTTTTTGGACCATGTTTTCGGCCATCGAATTTGGATCATGTCATAAATTTCACCCAGCATTGGGGTGAACTGGGTTGGATGGAGACCCGGAAATGCTGAGGATGCGGTTGAAGTTTAGATCCGCCAGGAAGCGGGAGACCAGAAGAAGAACTGATGGCAGCACTCACAGAAGAGGGCGGCATGGCGGAGCCAGCGTGGCAATTCGAGCAGGAGCGGCAACCATCCGTTGGCACTCAAAATGTATGGCATATGTATGGCATCAGGGTTCAGTTGAGAAAAAAATTGGTTGGGAAACCTGTGAGCTTTGGGGTCTAAAAAAGTCTGGCTGGTTCCCACGCTTCGGGGTCCTACATGGGACCGTGCCGAATCGAAAGTTGCTGGAAATCAGAATGCTGGCCATGTAGCAGACCAGATTTGCAAGACATTGGCAGGATGAATTGGCAGGTGCTGGCATGGTCAGTTTCTCAACTATGGCAAAAACATGCAAAAACTGTCAGGGCACTGCAGCAATTACTCTGAACTTCCATATGATCTAGATAGATTGACTGATCCAGAGACAATGTGTAAACTTTGAAACGAATCCAAAAATCTCACTTCTCTTAGAGTCTTAGAGGTTTGGGTGGTTAACAGGCATAAACAACTGCCACTTCAAAATAGCTGTATGGGTGTCCCATGGGTGTCTGGAAATGGTGAGAAACACCGTGCTGGTCGCTGGGAGCCGAGGTGCCGACAGAAGGTCCTCATGCGGAGGTTTCTGACAGAGATTTTGGATGGGGCCAAATGGGTGACGCAGAGAAATTCAGCACAAAAGTATACAAAAGTTGGTCTTTCAAACTTCCTTTTTCACATTTTCTATGATGGTTACCCTCTGGTAATTTAGCATAACTATGGAAAATCACCATTTTTGATGGGAAAATCCACTATAAATGGCAATTTTCAATAGCTACGTTAAATTACCAGAGGGTAATTCTCTGATCTTTGATGCGGACTTCGTCAAGGTTTGCTGCCTTGTGGCAGGTAAGTCCAGCGAAGCTTCACTTTCAAGCTGATGTGAAGAGGCCCCATATAGAGAGAAAGACCTTTGATACTGGCAGTTGTCGAAGATATGACCTGGGAATCCCAATTCATCGACCATTATCAGGGATTTTCCACATTCACTGTTGTTGAAGCAAGAATAAACGATTCCGAAGTTACCAACCTTTTTTGGGTGGTATAAACCATAAACAGATGGATGTTTTTTTTCCCATGGCTGCGAAGGCAATCTGCACAGACGCTTCGGCTCCGGAACACCGGCACAGCAGTCGTGCAGCCACTGGGCCATGATCAAAAATGACCAGGCGGATGGATACCGAGATATGACCAGCCACTTTTTTTCAATTGTTAATGGATCTCTTGGATCTCAATTTCTTATGATAATGGATATAAATGATAAATGGATATAGTCAAGTGGATATTGTTGGACATGGTGATATTTTTTTGGGATGTAGTGGAGGGTTTTGATGGGATAACGATATAGCCAGCCCACAATTTGGGCCTGTGTATGGCTGTGTAAAGTACAGAAAACTGGGGTACTCTTCAAACGGGAAAGATGCTGATCAACCGGGGGATTCTTCGAACGGGTATCCTACTTTCAGACACACCCAATATAGTCTCGAGAAAGATGAGTCGACAAGAATGTGTGACGGGGGGAAAGGTAGCAAACGCTACCGGATTCTTGATATGACATCCGAGCATACATTTTTGGGCTGACTTTTGGATACAGCAACACCTGAAAAGATAGACCACTTAAATCCTACTCAAAAGAGTAGAAGTTACTTTTCTATCTTTCTGGGTGTTAATATGTATAGATATTTGATACCTCCATTGAAGAATGCCCCCACCGGTGCGTGGCTGCGCTTGAGGTTTGAGTGGGTGCAGAACTTGCCGGAGCAGAGCTTTCAGGCTGTCCGCGTCGAACAAATTGGGCCCAGAAGAGGATGTTCCTTTTGGACATAGCCATTTTTAGATTCCATGTGAAATGTAAGGAGTGCAGCCAACAACAAGAGGCATTGATCCTTTGACATATTGACCGCAGGAACACAGGGATGTAAACAACACAAAGTGTGAGTTCTACCGACAAAACTGCAGATGGAACCAAAACAAAACAGCATCTCAAGAAAAATATCTCCCTGAGATTCTTTTTAAGCATTGCCTGTGCACAAAGTCAACCATCATGAGGATCTGACACCAATCGCAGCAAAACTGATGTTTCGAACTGAACCATTGGTCCTTCTTTGAAATCCAAGTGGCTCCCTTCAAAAATCCATGGCATTTTCTCAAGATGGACAGAAGTGGTGCAGGAGTCAATCCTACCGCAAGATGGTACTCCGTACTTCACCTGTCATCAAACCTCGGGGCCAAGGGAACCCAGTTTCCAACCCCTGCAGATCCGGAGGGATTTTTTTGGCAGAAACTCTGCGTTGTTCATGGCAAAATGGGATTTTTCAGGACCCCAACAGGCCCAACAGTTTCCCAAGGCATATTTTGAGGAAAGGTGGCAAAGGGATATTTCAATATTTCAGAAGATTTCTTTTCATGGGGGGCAGCATCTTTGGAGACATGTGAGTGGATCTGAATCGGAGTCGCATCATATTCTCCCACGAAAAAGTCATTGAGAATTCACCAAAGTTGGGGCTATCTAATCCATTTTGACGACCGAGGCGCATCCTTCCGGGTGAAGTTGTTTGGGTGGCCCAGACGGGTGACCATCATGGTGATGTCACCAATTTTTTTGTTGGTGAATGTTGTGGAAGAAACAGCCATGGTGCAGCTCTCAGGTGCAGACCATGTTTTCCTTCACCGCGGACAAACCGGGGACCTTCACATCATCTTGGTGCTGTCCTCAGTGGAGGAAAGTTTGAGCCAACGTCTCCACTTTTCTTCAGAATCCTCAAGAAACCATGATTACCCTCAGATAATCAAACATGGCAAGGGACCATCCCTGGTTTATAGATGTTTTTCATTGCCATGTTTGATTACCGGAAGGGATTTGTGTTGAGAGAGATACTTTGTTGGCTGGGCAATGCCCACGTTAAAACATGTGAGAGTGAACCGCATCCATGTGACGAACTGAATGATAACCTAGACCATATAATCATCCCCAAAAAGAAAGAACAGTAAATCCCCATCAAAGTAGTGAAGATTCACTTTGCCATCTTTTTTGGCGATTATAAATGGAAAGATGTTGGTGTCTTGATCAGGTGCTTGAAGACCTACCCTGAGCTCAAGGCCAGGCACTTCCGTCTGCTTCCAGAGGTCCCAATTTGTTGAAAACACCCGTGGCTTGCTGCATGTTGCTGCCAGATCTCAAGTGTTTTCCGGCTGTCTATGCATTTAAGTTCCCCTTTTTGGCTCATCAAAGTTTCAAGTTGCAGTACCCTCTGGTTATTCAACATAACTGTGGAACATGGCTTATTTTTATAGATGCCATGATGATTTCGACCGGCACAAAGTCCCCATTTTCCAAGTGATGCCTGGGAGGAACCCATCACTCAACTGGCGATGAATGCCTCCGCAACTCTGGGTGTCGGCTCCTTGAGCAGGGAATACTTTGGCATATTGCCTGGGGCAAGATGATCTGTGAAGTAGGATACGAGTCTATATATATAATATATATATAATGTATTTAATGTATATTTATATAATGTCTATTTATTACAATGTATATAGATATAATGATATAATGTGTATATATATATATGTATATACACATGTACATGATATGTAGGGATTATTCCTGTCAACAGATAGTATGGGGCTTGATGAATCGTGGAGATAATTCCCGGGTGATGTTCGGCGGTTCTCTGAGGATCTTCACTGGGAGAGGAGATCCGCACTGCAGGAATTCATCAAGAAGGAGCAGGCACGCCTCAGTCATCCAGAACCTGAAGTGCAGTGGGTTTCTGAAAAGTACATGTTGGTGTACTGTATCAGGTGTGAACATTGGTTTGAACCTTGTCCTACTGTCTCAATGGAATCAACCAAGAGAAACAATAGACAACCGGTATCCGCAACAGGCTTTGGACACTGCTTTGTGAAACCTGGGGAAGAGGCATCTCCAACATTGGAGAGCGCCTAATGCTCGTTAAAACACAGATGGGCTGCCGATTTGAGTGGTACGATGATTGGGGTCCACCGCGTTGATGTGTTGACTGTACTTACTATGCCTACATGTTCTTCGCTTTACAACATGGAGTACACAAATCCAGTGGTTCATCACCACTTTCCCCATTAATATTGGGGATATATTATATATATACTGTGTATATATACTATTATATATATATTGTATGTATGTATGTATGTATGTATATATATATTGTGTATATATATATACACATATAATATATATATAATATGTATACATACCCCATTCTCGTAGAACTCCACGTACGCCATGTATCAAAAGCTTGTGCCCCATTGGGAACCATGTCTGATCCCACTGAGACCATCAGCCTCGCCTCCGAACTTGCTGAAGACATTGTGGAAGCCGTGGGGCGCCCTTGGGCGCATTTCCACCCTGGTGGGGCGGAACATCATCTCATCCAATCCAATTCTCCCATGGCTTTCCATGTGAAGTGTATATAAGATATATCAGTACTGAAGACCCAATAAGGCCGCTGGTTCCTGAGGTCCGGCTTCAACCGCCTCCTCTTCCACCTTTGAGCGAGCCAGCAGTGCAGGAGCTGCTTGCTGCTTCCCCATAACCTGGGGGAGTGCAACGATACGGGTACTCCAAGCCCAGATTTGCTGTGGATTTCACCCATTTTCATTGGCCATGTCCACACCACATCCTCAATTTCTAAGTTTCAATGAGTTTTATACCAATTTTGGTTGCTAAACATCCAGCATTTCACATTTTTCGGGTAGGCTGACCTCATATTGTAGAGCTTTGCACACCGGCGATGCCATAAGGGTTATGTATAGTAGTGTGAGCGTTGGTGTTGTTCATGTGCTCTGCGCGTGTGCGCAGGTGCAGAGCACAGTGTGATGTTCTTTTCATACCGCAGCTTGTAACCATCTTACCACACATTTTTTTGTCGCATTTTTGTGCTTCTTCTTCTTCTTCTTCTTGTTGTTGTTGTTGTTGTTGTCGTCGTCGTCGTCGTCGTCGTCGTTGTTGTCGTCGTCGTCGTCGTCGTCACTCCTGCAGTTTTTTTCTCAGTCTCGTAGTGGCCGACAATCGTCAAATAGGTTGTGTTTTCACATTTTTGTGACACGTAAATACCGATGTTCTTTGCGCCGCGGAAACCCAAAACCACGGTATTTACCTTGCTTTTTTTTGCCTCTGGTAGCAAACATCATGGTAGTTACAGTGTTTTTTGGCCAGTGCCCAGCAAAAACATTTGTATTTACGCAGTTTTCACCATGTTGCAAGAAGTACTTTTTCCATGCCAAAGGCACAAAAACACTGTGTTTTGGCTCTTGGCACGCACCGAAAAAACAGCAAAAAGTGCCCAACATGGCCTCCAAAAAGCATCTTGTAATTTTATCGTCTTTTTTTGACCCCCAAAAACGGCAAAACACAGCGGAACTGAAGGATTTTGGGATAAGTTCGGCGGGAGGGCATGCTAAAGCTAGGCTGCAAACTACCACACAAACAGCAGCATCGCCGGATTTTTTGGGTCACCATAGCCAGACCCCCAGGAACGTCTCTTCGAAGAGGTCAACGCAGCGGACGGCCTCTTCTGGTCGTGGGGGAAGCTCAAGGAGATCGAGAGATGTGGGCCATGCCCAAGGCTGAAAAAATGGGGTAGTACCCCCTAAATAAACTGGATATTTCAAGGTTTTCAAGGGAAAATCTATGGACAAAATTACCATTCTGAATAGGTAAAGTATCAAAATCATGATAAATCATCGATTTCTGTCGGTTAGGCTTCCATGGCGATGCGAAATAACCAGAGGGTACCCCCTAAATCAACGGGGTGACCATCACTTTCCCTATTAAAGATTGCAGATCATTTGGGGGTTAAATCCATGTGAATCCCACATTTTCAGACACATCCAGTAGTTTTCGGATGATGTTGGTCAGTTTTCATTTTTGCTGGTGATATTGGTAATCAACCATGCTTGCTGGAGAATCCTCCATTCATAGATGAATTTTCCCATTGGAACCTCCATTTAGTTTTTGCTAAGCTAACATAGCTATGGCACATCACAATTTTTAATGGGTAAATCAACTATAAATGGGCCATTTTCAATAGCTATGTTAAATTACCAGAGGGTAAGGGGGATTTCCCAATGGTAGCGTTTGATTACCGGCTTTATTTTTGCAAATGGATCGAGGCCTCAGACCTGGGACACGCTGAGCGCCTTAAGAGAGCAGGTTCCGATGAGAAACCGGGGGGATGGAGGGGGTAGACATGGGAAAACATGGGCAAAGTGGGGAAAACATTTGGAAAAATGGTAAAACAAAGGGGAAAGTTGGGAAAAAGAAGGGGAAACATGGGGGTTAGTGAGCTGAAGTTTGGCAATAACAAACAAACAAAACCATGGACATTGATCGACAGAATTGGGATTGAACCGCCAGGAATGATTTGAAGCGACCAGACAGTGGATTTCACCAAGCGAAGACTTGGGATTCGAACCACTCAAAATGGTGAGTGATCCCTTGACCCAAATATCCATTTTCTTCCTTGGATTCTCAAGGTCCCCTAGAGCGGGTCCATGGTGTCACCTTTGGCAAAAGGTTGAGAGCATGGTGCCAGCGCGAAAACAAACAGATGAAGGCCGGGTTGGAAGGCTTCAACGGGTACAGCTCCAAATCGATTTTGCTGACATTGAGCTGATCGATGGTTGGAGGCTAAGGTATAAGGAGGGTCCCCAAGTAGGCAATCCGTTTCAGAGGAAAAATGCTGTTCTGTACAAATGCTGCAAAGCAAACACATATTTAGGAACGCCCAACAATTTACATAATTCACATACATCACCCAGAGATACACATCCATCATATCATATCTATGTTTTTCTTACTGGTGTTTAGCAGGGAATTTTCGGGAATGATCCATAATCACTAGTAATAATCATCCCAGCAACCCCCATTGCCATCCATTCCCTGCTAAGCATCCAGGCGCCAAGATTCCCACTTTCGTGCCGCGACCGGGACGTGGTCACGCGCCCAAGCCCAAGGCCGGTGTTTTTTTGGGGGAAAGGTCATGATGGTAATGTTGTGAAGCCAATAATGTGGGTAAAACAATGCATTTGGGGATGGTTTATACCACCTATAAAAATGGTGATTTGGGGGATGGTTTATTATTGTTTTACCCACATCAAACATGGGGTATAGTATAATATTGTTCATGGTGATAGTGAGATACTGTTAGTGCTGGAGATAGTGGGATAATGGATGATGATTAGTAGTAAATTGATGGAATCATTTTTATAGTGCAATTTGATGGGATTAGACCGGTTACATCACATTATTGGATTATGTCAACCAATGTCCTTTTCCCATTGGTTGGTTGATTAATAAAGGGGTCTCCCATTTTTCACAATCAGTAGGTACATGATAATGAAAGGTATACCAACCGACTTGATTGATAGGGATTCCCCGTTAATGGATTAGGATAATCCCAACATTTTGGGTAGTACAATCTAATCACCAACCAACAGGGGTATTGAATCTCTGGATTCAAACCAATCAACCATCGAATTCCCAGTTAACAAGTGAGCAGTGTTCAAAATCCGGTTGGCTGATGATTCGTTCGGGGGTGATTCTAACTAAAATATTGGGAATTGCCACAATCCATAATATGAAGGGCTTATAATCCCCATGGGTTACCAAAATCCATTAATACTGTGGATGGAAGAAATCCTGCACCACCTTGGATGGTTGAAACCCTAGTAATAATGGGATAAACCATATATCAACTGGTGCAGGATTTCGCAACCATCCACAGTATCTCAAATGTCACATTCCATGAGCGGGAAATCCTAGCAGGTGGAGCCCCCCTCCGCCGCGGAGCCCTTGCCGCCTTTGGAGTCCCTGGGTGTGCCGTCCATCAGCAGGCCCCAGAGAAGACACGGTGGTATATCTCCCAAAATGGCTATGGATCAATACCTATGAAAATACCATTTTGAGTGGGTTACCCTCTGGTGAACTAACATAGCAATTGAAAATGGCCCATTTATAGTGGATTTTCCCATTAAAAATGGTGATTTTCCATTGCTATGTTAGTTCACCAGAGGGTATTCACATCCAGCTATTAACCCAGCTAGTTTGATGTGAACAGAAGGGCTACTCGTGGAATTTTACCGTCAGTGTGGTGATTTTTCAGTGACAAAACAAGCTGCTGTTTTGCTGAAAACGCGACCTCTTTTTCAATCAGATCCCAATTTTTCTGGTTTATTGTGGTTTATAGACCTCCATTTTCCTTGCTTCACCTCCCATGTTTGTAGCTTTGATCTAACTTTCCCTGACCGAATTCACAGTGTTGTGTCTCAAATTTAGGCAAACATCTCCGCCAATATCATCATTTTCGTAATGAAAAACTATGATCAACAATTGGATTTTGACAAGCCAGGGGATCAACCGTTGGATGATGATCAACCTTAGGCAGGGGTTGGTAACTATCCCATTTTGGGTATATAAAGGACATCACCTTATAGTAAGTAGCCATTTGGTTGACCATATACCATTCATGGTTGGGTGATGTGACCCATGGGGACATCAGTCATGACCCATGTTAGGCAATGATAATGATCAACCGTATGGATCTTGGGGGTAAAATGCCGCAGGATGCGGCAACAGCTCGATCAGTTGCCGGGCACGGAGCCTGGCGTTGGGGCCTCCCAGTGGGGTGAGGATGGAGGAACCTGGGAACCCGTAAGAGATGGTGAGATTAACTAATAGACCAGAATACTTTTAAGAGTTCATATCAAACAAGATATGGGTAACTAATCAAGATATCTAGCTGAAAGACGGCATACCAACATTTTTGAATGGTGGTGTATATGTGTATCTTTTGATGTTTATTTTGAAACACAATTAAACATGATACATACTTACCAATCTAAACAATCGTGATCATGGAGATTGAAATGGATTCTCGTTTTGAGTACCGCCGTGATTGTACCTAGTACCTACAACTAGTAACTAGAGAGAGAGAGAGAGAGAGATGGAGATCTTATGAGATCTTAATGAATCAAAATGGTGATTTGCTTGACCGGAACTAATCATGAGAAACAACAACTTGGATGCTTGTTTCACGTGAAGTAATTATATCCCGTTGCCATGGTGAATTTGACCAACCGAAAAGGGATTTACGATCAACAGCAGTGGCGACATGACTAAGACTGGTGTAAACCAGGTTGGTGCATTGCCAACAACAGGTAATATGTTGTTTTTTTTTACTTGGCAGCTCATGTGCAAACAATTTTTGGTGATCTTTTGCAGTCGGATCTCCCGAGGCTGAAAAACCAGCGGAGAAGTTCGAGGTCATGCGGCAGCTTGAACGCGCTGGTCGAACTGCTAGGCCGGAGTTCGTGGACTATGTGGACTTGGTGACTTCACTTGTCCAACTTCAGGGGGGGAAACTGAGGTCTAACCTGGAAACCTGGAGTTTTTTGGATGTTGATGGGACGGATTTTAGATGCGTTTTTTTTTCACAGTACATGCATTGTAAGTCACTATACATAGTAATATATACACAGATATGGGTATAAGTCAAAACCCTTGTACCCCTAGTGAACCCTAAAATAGCTGGTAAATGGATGTTCATCCCCCAAAAAATGTAGTTATAGGTATTGATACATCTCTATCCTATGAAACACATAGCTACGCACGATTTCATGATTTGTGTCATTGTGCCTGGTCCATTGCCACAGGCAGTGCCCATTGGAGCGTTCACCGGTGTGGTGGATGGCCTACGAGTCCGTAGCCTCAGATGGAACTTGCGGATGGCTGGGTGAGTTGATGTCATCACCTGGGGGTGAGTCAAAACCTATTAATACCATTTTTAGGGGAATGAACATCCATTTACCAGCTATTTTGATGTTCACCAGGGGTACCAGGGTTTTGACACACTGCCACCTGACTGATCAAAACTGGAGCCCATCGAAAGTATCGAAAGTGCGGGAGTCGATTCCCATGGATGATTGAAGTCATGTTTCCAGCAACTGGAGCTGCTAACTCGTGGAACATCATAGATAATCATCTACTTGTAGAAATCCTGGATTTTGCCATCCAGGATAGAGGAGAACTTTTAAGCCATACAGCCAAGATCCATCCTTGATCATTAATCATTAACCATAGTCATTCATGAATCCACCATCATTAACCACAGCTAAGACTACTAAGAATATCATCCGCTTGAATCATTGAATCGCCCCATAGGACGGTCATGGAGATCGCCCTGACGGTGCCCAGCAAATGGGCCGCCACGCGGCAGCGCAACGGCCTGGAGCCAGTGCCCTTCCTGGCACCACCTGAGGCCTTTTGGGGTGATCCAACGTGTGGGGAAACGGCCACGAAAAACGGGGGAAAACAAGGGGGTAATATACCCTGTGGTTATGACTAACAGGTAAACCATCTATAAATGGGATATTTTTATGGGATATTAATGGGAAATTCATGGGATTTTATAGTGAGTCAATGGGATATTAATGGGTAATATACCCTCTGGTTATGACTAACATAGCCATGGTTTTTCGATGGCCCTAATCGAAATAGATTCGGGTTACCGTTCTTAATAGCATGGTGGATCTTTCAATGGCGAAGTGTTAAATAACCAGATGGTACCATGAACACATGGGGTAATTGACCACTTGATGATTCTTTATCTCGCCATTTTCGGGAACCCTGGATCATTTGCAGTGTTGGGAACCCTGAAGAATGAAGAATGCAGGGGTTTTGAGCAACAAAATGGGGATATCATGGGAATTTGTGGGAGAACATGTGAATTCATGGTCGGCTACCCATCCACTTCTTGGGGGATGTACCCCTCCTTGGCGGTCGTACAGGATGATGCTTCTCCCGGAGAACTGGAGCAGTACAACCTCAAGCTGGAGGCCGGAGATCATCGAAGCACGGTTGAAATGGGGGTACACCGCACCTGTTTGGGCTGTGGGTTATAGTTTGTGAACATTGAGTGGCCAAAAATGAGAGAGTTTGCCACCAAGAAAATGCCAATTTGTGACCCATGGGCCCATGGGCCCATGGCCATATCATGTGCTGTTTTTTTTTCTCGTGGCCTTGAGACAGTGCAGCAGCGGCAGGAAAGAAAGTCAAAGCTGGCGCCGGAGGAGAAGGAGGTCTGGATGACCTGCAGTGTGAGATGATTTGAGTATGGTACGGTCACAATTGGGTGCCGTTCAACTTAGTTACTGTAGTGAAAATCAGAACGACAAACATCATTTGAAAAAAACTGTGGGTCTGTGAAGGGTCCAGAGATGTCCAGAGCTTTTTTCACCATCAACATGTGGAGAAACGGCAGGCTGAAGTTCGTGACATCTTCTGCCGCGGCTTCGCAAAGAACAAGCCGCTTGCGAAGCAAAGATGGCAGACTGATCCCCCCGCTATGACCAGTTGGTACTACGGTACGCAGAAAATCCATGGAATTTATTTCCTGAAATCTTCCAGCCTTGAAGCCTCCACCCTGGACTCCAACTTCCCCGTCTTCATCCACAACTCCAAGGTTTGGCCCGGCCTGTGGCAGGTTTGGTGCCCTTGCCTCAGAATTTGGCAGTGCCCATGTTCATTGGAATTATTGGACCGTCTAACCAGAACAACTCTTGTCAGACCTTCAATTCTTTTTTGCCCAGTGGATTTTGAGCCAAATCATCCGTTTTTAGACCAGTTGGATTTAGGCCACAATCATCGTGCCTGTTCCCAGGCTGTGGCCAAGGAGGCCAGTCTGACCACCCGCATGACCCGCGCTGGCACCTTTTCGTTGGGAGATCGGCTCAGGTGGGGCGCCCAACAAATGAGATGCCAACTTGGGTGGCCATGCCTAAGGATGCTGAGATATCTATTTATCTATCCATCTATTATCTCATCTATCTATTTACTTTATTTGTTTATTTATTCAATTTGCTAATAAATTAGTGAACTGATACCTTTATATATTTGAATATCGAAGTAACGTGCAATAAGCGCAATTCTTTTTGGGATAAATGTCCAAACAGATACAACAACTCTCTGGCACTTCGACAATTACTTGTCCACAATGTGTTTCTTGAGGTATCACCCTGAAACATTTCTGACAAGCAATCCCAAATTAAGCTGATTTCTCCCCTGATTTTTCCAAGTAATTGGCTTCAGAAGCTGGGTAGCTTCGCGCTGAGGCCACACCTGGGTCGCCTGTCTTCGGAGGCCATCGAAATGGCCAGTAATGCACGGGGGCCTGGGCTGGCAGTGGAGCTGAAGGGCCCGATTTTGTCAATGACATCCCTTCTTCACCCTGCAGCCCGAGGTTGTCCTGTACGAACTGGACATGGGGTGAGCCACGTGGGATTGATGGGACTGCTTCTCATATTTGTCGAAATTTCAGGTGGAACATGAACAAATTGCATTCCCCAAAAGGATCTTCCCCCTTCCAAATCATCCAAATCATCCAAATCCAGTTTTTGGGGGTTCCATGGGGTGTCCAAATCCATTTTCTCTATGGATTCCATGGCGGATATCCCATGGGTTGCGCGATCCTGGAAGGTTCATGGTGCCGCCGCTGGCTTCAGATGGCGAGGCTGCGCATGAAATGGTCCAAATGGTCCATAACCATGGTCCGATGTCAATGATCCATGGGATATAATGGACATATCCATGGGATCCATGGCATCAATTATCCAAATGGTCCAAATGGTCCTTCTTACATGTTTATTATTGTTTGAAACAGTGTTTCCCATGGATTTTCGAATATTTTGGAATCATATCCTCATGACTATGACCCCAACCAGCTGACACCAGGAGCGTCCTTCGCTGATTCTGCAGGGTAGCGACTTGGAACTGCTGAAGCAACGGCTGCGAGGTGGGAAGATGTCAAAGATGCTACCTGCTTCCCTCATGTTTTTTTTCGTTCATAGGCTGCGCGGAGACCAGTTTCAGTTGGTGGAACTAGTCTGGAAGTATGTTGGTCCTCTGCCCATGCCTATTCTTAACTGGGAATTTCATCACCCATTCTTCATCGTTAACCAAAATCATACTTTGTCAATGATATAACCTTTCTTCATCCTTGATCCTGGTTAAGCATTCAGTTAACCATGATACCATGGTTGTCGCTATAGTCATGATGAACCACCCATTTGGTCCCACATTGATCCGCCCCGGTGTCACCACGGTGTCCGCGCCTCGACAGGTGTGGTGTCGGTGCTGGAATCCGTGCCCCTGGCGGTGCTGGTGACGGTACACCTGGGCGAGCCAAAGCCGGACAAGTCGGGAAGCCTTGGGCATCTGAGTGGTTTCATGGGATGATGTGGGGCCATGATTGCCAAGCATTTGTGATGATAAGCCCACATCAAAGAGGGTCATTTGAGCCATTTGGATCAACTAGCATAAGCCAATTTGGATGGTTTGCCAGCTGGATTTCTTACTTAGTTGGCTGTATCTTAGCTGGTTGGTGACACACACACACACATATATATAATATATATATAATATATATAATATATATATATATTATATATTATATATATATTATACATATAAATTATAAACATATGCCAAATGTGGGACGTTCCATCCAAGATTTGCACCCCTGCAACCGGCCCAGGCCCAAAGAAGACCCGGAGGCCGAGGTGACCGAGCTGCAAGAGGTGCAGCTGCGCATGGCCGGCCTGGCCACGGTGGAGCCCATCATGGAGATCCTGCGGGAGGTCGTGGGATCGGCCGCCACCAGCTGTGAGCCGGGGAAGCTCAGGGGCGCTGTGGCTGGGCTTGGCATTTCTTGGATAAAAATGGAGAAAAGATGGATAACATGGATGTATTTGGTTGATCTGGTTGAGTCATGGTGAGTGTGAATGTATTCTTTTTGATCTGTTTTGGGGAAAGGTGATGCTCACTTGATGAGCATGTTTGCTGCCAACCGGAAATGAATTCAAAGTTTATAATGTAAGTAGAACTGTGGAGCTTGTATCTCTGGGCCAAAAGGTTCCGAGCGAGAGTTAAAATTGTCAAGATGGGTTTGTCTCAACATTGTCATGTTAATGGGGAACCTGATGATCAGCCATGGGTCTTGGAATACACCGATTTTGGGATGTGACACACTTCTTCCGAGGTTTGTTCCTCACGAAGTGTTGCTGGGCTCCAACGCGGAATTCGCACAGAAGGTGCTGGTTCTTTGGGCGTCAGGGAGATTTGTTGACTGTTTTGACAAAAGCGGGGGACTGCCAGAGGACAGAATGGTTTTGGAGGTTGAGCTGATGGATGATGTGGATAATAGGGGGTCACCATTGGACATTCGCTGGTGGATACGGGCTCTGCAGGTGCGCAATGAAGATGTCGAAGGAAAGGTTTTCTTGCTGGAGAACATGTCCGCCGTGGCCGAGGAACGCCCCCCATGCAATCTCCCTGACAGATGCTGGTACTATACCTGTGGGCATCTTTGATGTCTCTGAACTACTCTGAACCATCATGGATGATAAGATGGTATTTTGATGGTTAAGTATGAATTGATACTTTGATGGTTAAATTATGTTAGTACTTTGATGGTAGTATCCTTGATATCTCCCGTGTAGAAATTGATACTAGCTCCACCGCAGTAGCTTCTGTCTGGCTGCATCCTGCCCACTCGCAGGAGACGGGCGTGCGAAGGACTTGGTTTTCACCACCACCGGTGGAAGGGTGCGGCGCCTGGCGGTTGCGAGCTGCCAGCATGTCACAGTCGGCACAGCCACTTGCAAAGCACCCAATGGTTTAAGTGAACATCTACAGGAAGCCATGGATTTCCAGGAGACTTCCGGGAAGCCTTGTTTTGCAAGTTGTGTTGTTGGTGGTGCAGCAGACAAAGTCTGTCACTTGACAAGTCAAGGCAAACAGGAGAAACTGAGATGGAGGCGCAGCTGGCTTGGGGTTGCTGGTCAAACCGCTGGACAATGAGGTCGGCAAATTTGTGACCCCTCACATGTCGTAGTTTTCCGTAACTCAGATAGAAACAATTTCAAGTTGTCCTGGAGAAGATTCACCACTAGCAGATATGAACCCTGGCTCATCTTGTGGGTCAGATAGCCTCAGCCTAGAAGTTAGAGGTCCCCATGTGGTGATGCTGCAATGTGGTACCCCGAACAAATCCAGCGGAGCGTGGTGTTTTCATGAATCCCCCAAATGATGAATTCAAGTATAGTTTATCAATGGCTTTACCCTATCAATAGATTGGTCGGATTGGTTTGTTGACCCATGAACATCCCATCATTGATGAAGATTCTCCGATTTTGCTGGATCATCATTTCAGGATATTCAATTCTTATGATGGATACTTAAGATCTACCATTTTAGTTGACTAACGTGCGATATCTTGGCTGAACCGGCCAGGTGGCACTTCATCGATTGCCGTGGGCCAGCCGCGAAGGTTGGGCGGTCTGGGCACTCAGGGGACTCAGGATGACAGCCGATACTGAGGACAAGAGTGATACCCTCTGGTGAACTAACATAGCAATGGAAAATGGCCATAGAAATAATGGATTTTCCCATTAAAAATGGTGATTTTCCATTGCTATGTTAGTTCACCAGAGGGTACTGAAAACCATTGGATCTTTAGGGTACATAGCCATACATAGCCTATTTGCAGACGAACGCATATGGCACAACATGTTGTAAATTCTCGCACCCTTGGTGAACATCCCACAAAAAAAACAATAGAATCATCTGGTATGGATCAAAACAGGGTCAAAACTTGGGATCCTCGGGATCCTCCGTGTTTTGGGGGGATGAAGATTTGGATGCTACGAGCAGGGAAGGGGTTTTTGATCCATAGCCATCTCGAAGCAGTCGAGATTGTATCCCATTGCTTGAACCTTGTCTGGGATATGGCTAAAAGAGCCGAGTATGAAATGGACCGATACGCAGTACAAGATGGTTTTTTTAGCAATGCTCAAATAAGAAGACTCCCCAACTTCAGATATCTTCTGCTGGGTCTGGTGAGTTTGAGACAAAGCTGGGAATTCCCAGCGCCAGACGTTCCCAATCCAGTGGATCCTCGTGCGATGAGGCCAGGGTTTTCAGAGATATTCAGCCCGAAAGCCTGGCAAAATCCTCAGGTCTGAGAACTTGGCAAAGGAAAGCACCATGGTTTCACACGCCATAAAGAAAGCACCATGGTTTCATAGGACAAACGATGCAACATCAGGCAAAATCATAAATAAATACATAAATAAATAGATAAAACCATAAATAAATACATAAATAGATAAATAGATAAATAGGTATATAATAATATAATAATATATATATATAGACGGCAGGTTGATTTCTGTAGGGGCCTTGGAAGACCCAACTTGCACTGCCACGGGCCATGGGAGTTGGTACATCCCAAGAGCAATTCCCCCCCAATTTTGGGTGATGTCATGTGATATCTATGCAGGAAGCAGTTCCATTCCTTACCCATGTGAGGTGGGCAGCCTAAGTGGACTGATCATCCAAGGTTCAGGATTCGTTGTGCCAGAGCTGTCAGTCCATGACCCTCAGCACTGGTCTGTGGCCTCGGGAGCTCCTGGCTGGATTGAGAAAAATCTGGGCTTGGAAGGTCAGAAGTCCAGGATCTCAGGGTCAACCGGATTGCTGGTGCTTCTGTATTACTATGTAAGTATGTAATTCATATTAATTCATGATGCATCCCTCAATTTTTGGGTCATTCTTTCCGATGTGTACCATTTATTTATTGCCAGCCAGGCGCCCCAAAGGGTGGTGGGTCCATCCATCGAAGTCGAACTCGCCGCCTTCCTGGACGCGTTGTCCGGAGCTGAGATCCACCGGTGTCAGGCCACTGGGGGGAAATTCGGCCCTACGAAATCTGGAGGTTAAACAAATGGGAGGTTTGTTAAAAAAATCATGTGCCAAGAATGGTGAACCTGTTGTCGAAGATTGCAGGGTGGAGAGTTTCAGCATGGAAACTGCTTCCGAGGCAGCTCCCAATCCGTGCCACTGCGGCAGAGGAGGCTGGACACCCACATATTTCACCAAGGGTGGCGGTCAAACTGGTGGATGATGACCTCGCAGGAGGCGGCTCGTGCTGAATTGGAGCAGTCTGTGGTGGACGACGACGGAAAGGCGGGGACTCCGAAAGCAGCTAACGGAAGAGATGAAAACAAGCCGAAAGACCTGGAAGGATTCCAAAACAAGGCGAGACCAAGCAAAGAAACAGAAAACTAAAACGGACCTGGAAGGATTCGAACCTTCAAAGATTTGTGCTCAAAATCTGCAATGACTTTAGAGACAACGCCACATCCATAGGGCAACAGGTCCTTGCATATATTGTATTATACTTCTTCCTCTTGTCACAGGTGCATGTGTGTGCCCCGCACAAGCGCTTGGTCTATAGATGGGATTCTAACTCAAACTATAAGATCTACAAGTGGGAAGTCCCTTCTTGCAGTGAGAATTCCTGGATTTGCTTTGGACATTCGTTGGCATTAGTTCAATCAAGCCAATCCATGCAGAAGATTGCCGTGCCTCTAATGGCGTCGTATCTTCACTGTACTGACTCGTGAGCTCTGAACTGGTTGAGCCAAAAACATGTGTTTGTCGAGATGGTGTCGGTTGTAAGTTGAGGTTCATATGACCCTCTATGTCGAAAAATGATGCACACCTAAACAAGTATAATATACATATACATACAAATCAATACTAAATACAGTATGATCATGATATTACTACATGATACTATTCGTGTCATACTCAGAAGATGGTCTAGATCAACCCAGTTCTTGGGGACCTTTTTTTTCTTACTTAAGACGGGTTCAATGCCACGTCATGGGAATATTCAATCCCATCATGGTGTCTAATCAATCCCAAACATAATGGGTGGAAAAAATCCAACCACTTTTTAAAGATGGGATTCATTATTTTTGAGACCAATTCGATTTGTGCCACGGTCAAGAGTGGGATCATACACTCATATTGGGGGATGGTCATAAATCCATTCATGATATTCGCCGGGGATCTCTTCACTGGATTGGTTTTCCGGGAAGATCTTAACCGGAAACCATGGAATTTCGCATAAAAAGGAGGGATTTCTTGTAGAAAAAGATCCCTTAAACCAATCAATGGATCTAGATCTTCCCATGCAACTGGATTTTTCCCTGGGAGGCCGCAGCCCCTGCCCCGCTGTTGATCGTCCTGGGTGGCGGCGACTTCGGCCGGGAGGAGGTGCTGCTGAAGAAATTGGAGCTGCTGATTGGTTTGTCGCGCCTGGCGCAGTACGAGAAGGTGTGGTGCGGTGTGGTGTTCGTGAAAAAGCACCCGATGAATGGCGTTATACATGTTATATATAATAGAATAATATATATATATACATATGTATGTATATTGTAGACAATTGTCATATTATATGATATGCACTTGTGATTTTTGAATCTACAAGATTCGTCTTTGAACTGGTACTGATACTGGGGAGTTAGTAAAGCAGCAGTCATTGCACTACAATCCAAAAAGATGGTGAGATGGTACCTGATAAAAAAGGCGTCCCTAAACAGAAAAAGGAGGACTCCGAATTATTGTAGATAGCCAGATCGCCATTGCAAAGTGCAGTTAATTTTCCAGGTATGCGGCTGATTTTTTCCTCATGTTCAGGACTTATCACCCAAGAGTCCACGTTTTCCATGAGATACTGGAGGTTTTCCCATGATCTCTCCCAACTTCCCAGCATTTTCCCGGTGTTTTCCACCCCGCGATCGCGTTTTTTTTCCTCGGCAGGGAGGCGTGCACATCATGGCCGCTGGAGAATTGGCACCCGCTTTGCTTGGAGGTGCCCTCTAGGAATCGTAAGTGGAATTGTGCTACAAAAATTGGAGAATGATAGAGGAAATAGATTCCATACATAAATCCATGGACAATTATAGGGAAATATGGTGTACGGAAATATTTCCATCTGAGATTTTGATGGATTTTCCAGAGGTAATCCTGTTTCCAGGTGCTACTAAGGTGCTCTTTTAGGTGAAGGTTACCCTCTGGTAAACATACAAAAAACTATGGAAAGATCCACCATTTTTCATGGGAAAACTCACTATAAATGGTGATTTTCCATTGTTATGTAAACGTTTACCAGAGGGTAACTCTATGTGCCAAATTTTTTTGGTGTTGAGGATTGAATTCTATTGGGGGTTGAACTGCTTTCTATAGCCCAATTCCATGAAAAAAACGACATGGCCGTAGATTGTTTTCTACGCCCCATCAGATACTCAGATACCAACAGTGGGAGCAAACTTCCAGGTGTTCTTGGCATGCCGATGGGTGACGGCCTATCCCTGGATGGTGCTATCAAGGCAGCGCTTCGCGAGGCACGGCTTGTTGTTTTTGATTTCCCAGGCTTGGATGATGGGAAAGTTTAGAGAAATCCGGATCCCGCAGCTGGGGGTGAAAGACCAGCCAAATACCTATGGATCCTATGGTTTCTGGTAGATGTTCGACTAAAACCCCCAAAACTGATGGATTTCTCAAGGCGAAGGCGAAAATCGATTCACCCGTGGCCAGGCTCTTTTGGAAGTGATGAGGCGCCGATCTATTCGAAATCCTTAAATCATGTAGAGACAAACACTGGATCAATCTGGAATAGTGCTTCCAAATTCCTAACAGCCCAGTGCTGTTCAAAATTTGTTTGCGAAAAAATCCATGCAGTGGTCAGGACCGGAGTGGCGTCATGACCTTAGCTACTGAAACGACTTATGTGATACAGTAGGTGATTTCTGTGATGTAGTTTTAATCTACTGGAATCAGTTATTTTGTATTATGTTGTAGTAATTTTTCATCACTCCAATTGGCTATGGATCAACATTGGGTACCCGAAAAATGATCTCACTGCGACCGGAATGATGGTGAGAAAGGGGAAACTATCCCAAAGTAACCGAACTATGTAGGTCAATGACTTATTATATGGAGATACATTATATATATATATGTATATCTATTGATTCTATTGTCATCATCATTGTTACTATAAATTGCAGGGGTAACGTAACTATCCAGATCTATTGATATCCATGGCTTTTTTGGTGAACACTCGACACCTCATCCACAAGCCACCACTGCTGTTCTGCTGAGGATCTCTCTTCCTTTGGACGTCGTATGCCAGGCGGTCAGCCGATCATGTTTTGAAGAAACATAGCTGAAGATCTGAAAGTGAGAGATAATATTAGAGATTACTATATATATAATTATGTATATTCAAAACTATATAAAATAGTGTATTATATTATATTATATTACATTATATTATATTATATATTAATATATTGTATATTGTATATTATATATATTATATATTATATATTGTATATTATATATTATATATTATATATTATATATTATATATTATATATTATATATTATATATTAATATATTGTATATTATATATTATATATTATATATTATATGTTATATGTTATATACTATATATTATATTATATTAAATTAAATTATATTATAGATAGATGAGTCACATCAGTGATCATCAGTGGGTAAAAAAAACCTTCATGACCCCCTGCGCAGTGCCGAAGCCATCATTGCGCTTCAGGCTGAAGGTGAAGAACCACCAGCTGAGGCGAAGGACGCCGTGACCAAACCATGAAACCATGAAACACCATGGTAATCAACCTAATATGATATGTATATATATATATGTGGAGATATTGGATGTTGGACAAGTATCAACTATGTATATACAATATATTATATATATAATCCATGAAATCAGTTATTATCCCATTTTTATTGGTGACACGTCACATCTTTTTGTGTCCGGTTGAAGCGCGAACGAAATCCCAGGAGAGCGGCAACGGCATTGTGGTACCCCTGGCCGTCAGGTCTCTCAGGGACCACCCGGACGCTGAACGTGGGGAATTCAGTGGCATCAATCGTTCAATGGAACCCAACCTATTAATGGATTAATAAACCATATATATATAATAAATAATAGGGATAATAGTGGATTTGTATAGCCATCAATAGGGAATCCATAAATATATGATATAATAGGGATTCCTTTTTTTTGGATTCCATGAAAATTCTGGTGGATAATAACTGATATAATGAAATCCCTATTAAATGAAATTATATTTGGGATAACTGATTAATAGTGGATTTATATACCCATTATATAGGGAATCCTCAATGATGGTGGGATGACAAGAGTAACCATATACCATCTTTTGACCATGGCACATGTGATGGCAGGTGATTGGTTGGTGATTGTGTCATCAGGTCATCACTTTCCCCACCTTGTAACAAGAGATTAAGGCTAGATCTAGCTAGATCCCAGGTTTTCCATGGTTTTCCAAGCAGATCAGGGCGAACGTTTGCTCCAGCGTTTGCTCCGCTGAGGAATCCTGGAAAGAAGCCGCCAAGCAGCCGCCAGTCTTCTTGGGCGTCGCGGATGGCTGTGGCTCGACGACGCGGCGAAAAACTGAGGATCTGACCAACACGGGGAGTTAAACAGACCGAGAAGGTAAGGATTTCAATACACCAGGATAAACACACCACACTAGGTCCTGGGTTGGATTATATATCATTGATCAACTATCAACTAGATTTGGATGACTATGACATGATATAGAATCATAATCCTAACACGGAGATTACACCATCATTTTCTAAATGGGTATGGGTTGTTATTCACATCCCAACGTAATTTGGGTATGTTCATGTTTGGAATGTGAGCCACAGGCGACTGGGATTTCGACCCATTTCCATTTGTTTCCCTGTGGATCTAACATGGCGATTTCAGTTGGAACACTTTCCAAAGATGGGGATATTCTGTCCTGGTTGGTGGTTTACCTCCATTCATGATTTGGGATGATCCCTTTAAATGACCACTAGCTTTCAAGGGCTCACCACCAGTCGCCTTCAATTCCAAGGCGACTGCTACATCGAGCTGGACGTCACTCATGGCATCCTGAAGCTTCGAAGCAGGCGATGCAAGGGGGCTGCGAAATTCTGTTCCAACTAGGGACGGGCCAAGATGATGATTACCCTCTAGAAATCAAAAATGGCTAGCTAGGAAATCCCCCAGGTTTTACATAATGGAGAATCAACGAACTATTGCTGGTGGATTTTCCAGCGAGCCATGTTTGATTACTAGAGGGTAAACCTTGGATGGGAAGTTGAATACTTGATTCCGTTTCTTGCCATGAATGGGGAATACAGTGCCCAGCTAAAATTGCAGAGCATCTAAGATTATGATGATTGTGACTTTTGAACCCTGCGCAAAATGTGATGGTGAAACAACAGGGATATGATTTCCTCCCTTCAACCAATACGTGCGATTTGTCACTTCCATGAAGTTTATGATGCAGTCATTTCATATGATTTCCACGTTTTTTTTGCAGGGAAGATGACGCCGCAGCCGTTGCAGAAGTGGTGCCAGATGCGGGAGGCTCTGGGTTTGAAGCAGCATTCTGCAGTTGTTGGGGCAGCGGTTGGGCACCGGACAGGTGCAGCTGATGTGGCACCAGAGGCCGGTCTCATTCAGAATCATTGCTTCGGTGATCCCCAGAAAGATGCTCCCCTTTGAGATTTTCAAACTTTAACGTTACAAAAAAAAAAATATATATCCACACATACATACAGTATATCCATATATATATATAATATACATATATGTATATAAACCCATCTCCTTCGGATCAAATCTGGTTGGGCCAGGCCGACGCACCGGCCGACGCCGCGGATGCCGATGCCCCGGCCGACCCGGCGGACCCGGCCGAGGCGGCCGACGCGGCGCCGCCTCCGGTGCCGCCCGAGTGCTTCCCGGGCGGCGTGCCGAGTCCCTGGCGGGTGAAGGATGTGGGGCCCGCCACGGGCGAGCAGCTCAGGATGGGGTTGGCTGGGGATTTTTTTTGGGCTCTGGGAAGTTAGATGGAAAATGGTCATGTTTTTGAAGGTCAATGATCTACATCCAGAAATGGGTCATTTTCTATGGCTATGCTAGAACCAGAGGGTACTTGTACTTGAACGTGGGTTTGGAGGTGAATAATTTAAGCGGTGACCAGAATGATAGGGGATTTTGGGTCCATACTGGGTCCATTTCGCATCAGTTACCACCAGATATTGATTAAGTCTTTTTGTTTTGATGTGATTATGATACCATGTGATAGAAGGATGCACCTTGTAGTAAATTCAGATTGCAAGGACATCTCTATCGATCTACAACAAGACAATCCCAATTCCAATCCCAATCCTAATTGGTTGTTAAAGATATGTTCTAATTTCTAGTTACAGGTGGTTCTTTTCTTCCCACATTTTTCTGATGCCTTGGCGCTCTCCAGGATGTTGCTGCGACGCAGCCGTGGAGCACTTTGGAACGGCTCCCTGGGCCGCTGCGAGGTGCAGCTCATCCTGGCCATTGCTGATCTTCCATGAATGTAGAATAGTAGAGTAACCTGTTTGAATATATTTGAGATATTTTCAGATAATCTTCTCTATGTTGAGGACCCTGAGATTTTTCACACTCTTCAATTGGCTTCGCTCCTTGAATCCTATCCCCATTATATCCCAGTACAATTGCTAGGAAACCCAATACCCTTCAGTAATCCATCCTGGCCATGGAGATCCCCAAAATTTACATCCACGCGTGGATGGGTTTTTCCGTTTTTCCACCAAAACGTGGAGCATTTCCCACTTTTCATATGGAAATGGGATGAAGACCAGCTGCCAGGAGGGCTTTGAAAAGGGCACTCAAGACTTCGTGGCCATGCTGGAGTCGCGTCTCACTGGAGCTGGGGAGGCAGGGAACATGGTCCTGGTAGGTGGTTTGTGCGACCTGATCTACACATCGTAATTCATGTAATTACATAGTATATACTATAATATATGAGGCAACTTGTAGGATGCACCATGATGCACCAATAGTCTTGAGGATGAAGAAGACGAGGAGGACGAAGAGGAGGCAGAAGATGAGGAGGCAGAGGACGAAGAAGGCCGCCGAATGGTCACAGTTCACAGGCTTTGGCTTTCCCATAGGAGGGGGGAGCTGCACCATATGTAGATATTTGGAGATAGATGATGTATTATATATATATACATATACTGTATATATATATGTATAAAATAAGCACTGACGTCATCCATATTATGAACACTCTGAACGTGTGCACCCTGCCACGTCCGGCACGCGCTACTAGGCGAGGAAGAATCCGGAGATGGAGAGAAAGAGGAGCAAGTGAGGCCAGCTCCTCAATATTCAGAGCTGGGTGGTGCTGCCAATGTTGTGGGTTACCCAATTCCTGATGTCAGCCCCCAACATCAAAACCAACACCCTCGCAGTGGCATTGGTCCATCATGTGGCCTTCTTTTCACCACACGGAATCATAAATCCCTCAAAGCCCTGGGTTTTCCTGCCAAGACATGCTATCAAAATCGTAGCTCCAGCTGGTTGTTTCGGATGCTTTTGTTTCCATACTAGAATTTTCAAATATTCATCACCCCCAAGTGACTTTCACACGTTGCGGGATGGGCCTTTCAGCCAACCGCTGAGGAAAGATTCCAAGCCCAAAGAGCGACGGGCAGAGTTCGAGATGGCCGCAGTGCTCGGTCCGGAGCCCCAACGCCTGTTGACTTCTGTGCTTATACTGGCACATATGGGTTGTCTGAAAATGATGTCTACCCTAAATCCGCCGGTTTATCATCATTTATCCTAGAAAATTGCAATTTCATGCGTATACCGTATGTACCCCAGACAGACCCATGTGGGAAGAAGACCAGCTGGTTTCACGGGGGGGCATAACACCATTTTTTGTTAAAGCCCAGGTCGCGACAGCCGGAAACTCTTGGAGAATTTTGCAGAAAATCCAGCCAATGCCCCGTTCTTAGCTTTGGGTGAGTCAATTCAATGGGAATTCCAGGATCCTAAAATGGAGGTACTGTACCATATAAGGCCATATTTTGTGGTGATATTCACTTACATAGGCCTTACATAGGCCTTACATAGGCCTTACATAGGCCTTATATATGGTAGGTACTTTCAATTTAGGAACCTGAAATGGCCAGTGATCAATGGCAAAACTCTTGGGATGATAGGATGATCGATTTTCCTGAGTCATGGCTGAGGTGCCTTTCATCTCCAGCACTGGCGAGGTGGAGCCTTCCACGGCACCTTCCATTCAGTTGGTCAGTTGGTGGGGTTGGCTCATAGATTTCCTATAGATTTTCCATAGATTTCGGGTATTTCGAGGTCTACCTGGCACCTGTTGGCAAGCAAAATATGATAAGAACGCTTGGAGTACGATGTCAAATGTGTACGGCTCATCAAAATCTAAGGCCCAGATAACCTGCAGATGTAGTTTATTTTATATTATGTATTTTATGTTATATTTGGCACCAATCATCCAATCAATTCCAATTTTTACGCATACTCCAATGGAGCGGAAAATATGGAACTCAGGTCAGGTTTCACTACTGTACCGCCTCCCCGCAGGGCCTGCTGCAGATTCTTCGGGGAGGAACAGTGTTGCCAACTCAGCGATTTTGGCAGCTGCCTAGCTGATTTGGGGGGCGCTAATGGTTGTCATTTTGGAACCTACCTGCGATATCTGCGATGGTGATTTCTAGTGACTAGTCATTTTTTGGGATGGGTTGAAAGGTGTTGAATTGACCAACCAGGAAGGATAATGAGAATGGATGGCCGAAGGCTTTCAAGGATGTATGATGTATGTGCCTTCGAAAGCACATCTGTTTGCATTTTGTCACCGCCTCTGGAGTTTCAGGCCCGGTCTGCAAGCATGTGATTCCAAAAAGCCGGTGTGACAGGAAAACGTCTCACAAACAGACAACTTTTTTCACCTTGGCAAAGCCATTTGCACATAAAAATGGCTGTGGGTCAAAATGCAAGAAGGTCGATGTCACAACTTTTTGATTTTTTTGGGTTACCGTCCCCTAAACCGGATGAACCCGGATGAACCAGTGGTACCCATTGGTTGCTACCCAATAAACACCATGGTTTCTGGACATCAACACCTGACCCACAGCTGGCACTCTCCGGGACGGCCACGGGGCCGGGTTCATAGAGAAACTTCTGACCAGAGGCCCAAGATTCAGAAGGATAGCGACTTCAAAGGACCTCATCGTATATACATTGTTGATTAAGCATAAGATGGGCATGAACCATGGCCACACATCATCACACATCAGTTTTTTTCCAGGAGAAACTAGGGGAACTATTTGGATTTCAAGATCCCAGCTTGACCAAGTGCTGCAAATAGCCACCCGTGTTTCACCTCTGGAGGAATTCCCAAGAGTGTTTGCACCTGAAAAAAGCTGCTGCGCACATTCGTTGCATTTCGTTGCCCTGAAGTCAACGGACTTTCATCAGAGGAAACCACACATGCAAAAAGTGTTGGTACATCTACAGCACCAATGATTTACATCAAGTTATGAGATCATGGTGATTTTCAAGGATGTGAATTAGTAGGAGACCCATCATGACTCGAGTGTCCACAAATTTTGAGATATGGCTTTGTCTGAAATGGGGCACCACCAATTCCAAGGATTATCATCATTTTCCGCCATTTCAATGGGGCCATTTCATTGTTAATAGTTAATCCCCCCCACTTGAGACACATCCATAAATATCATAAATCATATGGGTTAGTGAACATCCCCCAGTTATATCCCCACTTTATCCTCATTTCCATGGACATTGAGATATTAAAAAACGTGGGTGACCTTAGGATCGAAGATAGCGGCGACGCAGATCGCAGCTTTCGCAGCTTTTTGGGCTTGGGATGATGCTGGAGATGGACCACCCTTGGAATGGGCTAGTGAGACAGCCACAAAAAGGTAGAAACCAACTAAAATTATCACTATGTTTGGTGGGACCTTATTTTCTTTGATCTTCTTGGGGGTTGCGAAAGAAAAAAAATGGGGACATTTGACTTGAATTCTCCATATCTTGTTGATAACACGAAGGATTCCTAAAGTTGTTTCGTCCAACGAAGCCAGTGACAGATTATCTGTTGGTGATCACAGCAGATCAGAGATCCAGCATGGTTTTCCCATGAAGATGTTGGAGGACATCAGTGGCTTTTTGGACCTTGAATCCTCCCTAGTGGTTGGGTCAAGTTGGACTTATCTGGGCATGGAAGCACGACCAAAACTTGCGGGTGCATTGAAGCCAGACCCAATATTTACAGTAGGTGACAGCAAGGAACTAGGACGTAGGTCATGGGGCACACTTGATTCTTGCGCCATGCTGGATCGGAATGCCCTGCTGTTCATTGCGCTGCAGCCGCTTGATGATCTTGATGATTGGGGTGGCTTTCTCCATCAAAATGGCAGCCCCAAAGCCAGTGGTTTTTTTTTCACCCCATTTTCCCCGTGATCAAATGGCACTGCTATGAAATGGATAAACCGGTATACCGCATTTGTGGAGAGTATTGGACTTTGTTGAGGAGGGTCAGAGGCTTGGGCGTCCACAAGTATTGACAACAATGCGCATGTGATGGTTGCTTTTAATTCGGAAATAGAAAAAAACCCAAATATGAACAAAAGACAAGTACACGTGGCGATGCTATGTTTGAGACATGCTGAATCAGAAACAGATTCTCACCAGCCAGCCGGCACATGATAATCGCTGGATCCGTTTCTTGTCCTTTCATCGGGTGCCAATGTCGGTTGATCAATGTCCTAAAACGACTGATGGTTTTTCTGAAGGTCCCAAAAAGGTCTATAGGTTGAATGGTTCTATGTTTTTCTCAAGTCATTGGGCCTTTCTTTTACACCATGCACAACGGAGTTGCCGGGTTTCACACTGCTTCCATCCACGTCCATCCACGTCCATCCACTTCCATCCCGTTGCGTTCCTTGCGTTCCTTGCGACTCGAGGTTTGGGTCGCGATTTGCGAACTCATTTCTGGTGACCGTTAGGACCTCAGGGCCGCTGGATCTCAATGGATCTTCATGGCTTCATCAGGGAACTGGGGGAACATTTTCATCGCTTCGGCAAGTTGTGGAGTTTGGGTATGTGCTGTTGGTATTTTTGTTGGGCTATGATATGCTGACCTATTATATATTGTAGATATAGTATAGTCTATAGTTAATATTTGGGGATGGTCAGATGGGTTATGATATGCTATGATCATGGACCATGGACCTATTAGATGTATAGTTCATACTTGGGGATGGTCAGATCCGATGGCACGTCTCAGGAAGCAAGGAAAAGGCAAAAGATGGATCAAGTGGTGAATTCTTCGGGGGGCGTTGTCAACCAGTGTACCCAAGTGGCGAAAGTTTTTTTGTGAAAGGAACAAACTCATCCAATGCAGCTCCCAGCAAAGTTTTGTTTTTGATCCATATCCGCATCCGCAGATTGATCATAAATCAATTCATAACTATCCGACTTCTGCTTGGTTCTCTTCTCACTCTGCCTTTGTCTCTGTGGCAAGCCCAAACACTCATGCAAAGTGGGTTTGGACTTTGGACACATGATATTTGGATTGGAACTTGTCACCTGCCCTGGATTCCAGGGTAATCTCGGGAGGGTCATGGATCTTTTTTTTCTGACCGAGGCCGCCAGATATGAGTTGCTCGAAGCCCGGGCCCCCAGCGAGGGACCTGCTAAAACCACCCCAAAACTTTAAAGCTAGAACCAATGAACCAAGAAACGGTGACTTATGGCGACTTTCATTGGCTTTCAGGGGAAACAACCATTTAATGAGCTTTCAAAGGAAACATGAATTTCCTAGCTCATCGTTTGTTGAGCAGGGCTCCATGTCACCTTTTTCGGTGGGATCGTGCCCCAAAAAGTTGCCAAAATTTCAGCTACGCCCAGGCCGCTGGTATCTTCCAGTTTGCCGGCGCGCAGGTTGCGACCAATGTCGCGCGCATGTTGGTTGCTGCCTCAACTGGCTGAGGTCTGGATGAGGATAGCTTTCAAATGAAACACAGGGAAGGAACAACTGCAGCAAAAACAACAGTTGGAAAAGTGCGAACAACGCACTCCCCAGTCAGGTGTTCGAAGATGACTTTGCTCTGAGGTTGCACAGGTGGCTGGTCTGCTGACTGACAACTTTGCCTTGAAGAGGATGTATGTCGCTTCGGAGGCAGGGAACACTCAGCAAGGAAATCAACGGCTGGTGGTGCCATTTGTCAAAGGACGTGCCACCAGATGGTTGGGAAACTCTGATGTTTGCTCCAACCGGCTCTCCATTTAATAGGGCATATCGATACCTCTAGCTCCAAACCGCTCCTTCCTAACCACTGGATTTTTGCGTCTTTTGCGTTTCGTCCCAAACGTTGTTTGGGCTTGTGGGTGGTCAGGATTCGTACCACCAACAAGACTTTACATTTCAATTGAAAAAACAACTAATTGTTGAGAGGATAGTACCGTGTGGCATATCGAATGAACTTTGCCCTTTCTGTGAAGGGTATCTGCAATTCCATTGGGTCATCGTCAAGCCTTGCAGGTTTCTTAGGCGGAATGAAAATTCGATTGAGATGCCTTGTGCTACCATTGGAAGTGTTGAACAGGTTATGCAAGGCAGCTTTAACTTCATCAGCATACCAAAGTTGTGGCCTTTTTGCAAATCCCTTGCATGTACTGGAACACCCAAGCGCACTGAGGGAACGTGCTTTTGATGTCAGGGAAGCAGGAAATAATGTAAATGGAGCATGTTTGACAATCCAGGATATACTCTTGGACCAAATCATCATTTGGGCACCCAACGTGCGAGCACACGTATCAGCTAACACTTCTTTGTCCTCCAGAATGTAGCATGGTGCCGTCCATTGGTCACGTTGTTGCTTCGTGAAAGTGTTGCGAGGAACAATGGTCTGCGTAACTGTCATATAATCTATGTAGAGTTCTAACATAGATATATCCGCATTATGAACGCAGTCTTGGCTAGGCCAAGCAAGGCCCTTTGCCCATTGGGTGATCCTCCACAAATAAACTGGCCCCCATGGATAGGCAAGATATTGTTGGTGTGTGAAGGAATGGTTGACTCTAAAAACCTGCGGAGCCACTTGCAGAGCTGGATGTTCAGGGTTAAAATGGTTATCTTTTTGCCTTTCTTTCTGTTGCTTCGCTGATGCTTTGATGCATTTGTCACTGGCCAATGCGATGAACTCAAATAGGGCAATTGCATCTGTTCTATGTTGGGAAACTCTTTTGTGCATAGCCTCCAATTTTAAGAAAAGTCCTCTGTTGTCTGCAGTGATGGTACTTTTCGCTTTTTTATCCACAAAGTCATTGCACCATGCAGCCCACCTCTCGAATGGGTTTGAAACTTTGTCAATCTGGACATGCGCTTTGACTTTCAAGATGGAAATCTGCCGTTCACCTCGTTGGCTAAGATGTCGCAGAATACAATTCCAGATCAACAAGGAACCCTTCAGTTCATGCCTCCTTGGTTGCTGAAAAAAATCATCTTCCATCATTTCAACAACTGTTTGGCAATCTGAAAAAATGCGGACGTGGTACCATCTATTCAAAGCCAGTAAAACAGAGTACAATTTGCCTGCAAAACTAGTTTGTTCAACTCCTGGAACAAGTTGTCCAAACGCAAAATTTGGTGTGTAACTGTTCTGGCCAACCTCAAGCACCGGATAGATTGTCCATTTAAATTTGGAGATGGTGATCCCCAATTGACTTTCAACTTCTTGGGATGAGTTGAAACATGGGTGAAGAATCATGCCTCTTGATCGATGTTCCATCCGCAAAGGGAGGGAGATTTGTTCGAATATTTGAAGATGAAACACACTTTTCATCTTGAAGATGTACAATGATATGGCGATACTTTCGAATATTTGAAGATGTACTGTAATCATCTGTAATCATGAAGATGAACAATGAGATGGACATTTTCACTCTTTTTTCCGGTTGCCAGGCCCTGAACCTGGTGGAGTCCTCAGCTGAAGGGGAATGGGGGGAATGGATACTTAGCTCGGAAAATGACCCCTATGAATGGGGAACATGAGCCATTGATAGATGGTTTACCTCTTAACTCTTAGACATCTTAGACTTTTTTTTTCAGGTCGTGATTCTCCAGAGCGATATTAAATTTCCAGAAGGTACAACTCGAAACATGGCTTTTTTTTTTCAATGGGCGGAGCTCAGGTACTGGCAGTGGCAATGTTTGCTTGCGGGCAACATCACAGCAGAATGCTCTTCGCACTGAATGTAGGCTGGGGATTTTTTTGGTCCACTTGAGCCCAGAATGCCCAGAATCCTCTCAGCTCAGCTGACATGTCTTCCTGCTTAACCCCTCCCAAGATTGTGTTGAATCGATCCATGATGTTTGGCTGCAAGCCACCTTTCAACGGTCAAACGTTTTTTGTACAATCCACTTTTTTTTTTCCTGGGGGTAATTAAACAAAACCTATTTGGGTGAAACATGGATAATAAATTGAATGAGAAATTTCCTGATGACTTAGGAAACCCTCATATCAAGAAAGGATTTTCTACATACTAAATCCGATGTTTTCATTGGGAATTCAACTATATAGTATAATATATATATATATATATATTATAATATAGACAGAGAGACAGAGAGAGTAAAACCTCCAAAAATAACACATTTAACTTTGCCACTATTTTCAAATTCGGATTTTACTTTTCCATCTCTTTTCGGGGGATGTAAAGAAAACAACCGACTTTCCCAGTGGATCTCCGCAATGGCCAGGTCTGGGCCTCCTTTTTGCCTTCTCCCAACCTGTGACCAAGTCGATGCCTCCCGCAGTGGCGGATTCACGAGAGGAGCGACGGAAGGGGATGAAGATGGATGAAGTAGCCTCTGGTAAACGTTTACATAGCTGTTGAACATCACCATTTTGAGTGGGTCAATCAGGTCAATCAACTATTTCTATGGTATAAATGGCCATTTTCAATAGCTATGTAACAAATTACCAGAGGGTATTTTTCTGGATTTTTTCTGGATTGTTAGGGATGAAGTGTTTTCTCCACTGCGACTGAGATCTGGAAGAATTCCTGGAAGAAGTTGGAAGCATGAAACCCATAGGATCCATGGTGCTGCTATATATATGGTAACATTTACCATCAATATACCCCAAATGTTAACATATACCAGCACCATGGATCCTATGGGTTTGGGCTTGGGAGTGTTTCCGGTCCAGGACTTGGCTATCATCAACGGATGGGACCTGACCTGCGACAAGGCCTTGAGACATGTTGAGACCGGCAAGCAGTGCCTTGATGAAACACGCCTTTTCTCGGTTTTTGTGGGTTTCAAACATACCATATCAATGGATTGGTTTAAGGGAAAAAATGCAGGACCCCCCCTCCCATATTTCATGGGAAAATCTATGGTTTACTGTAGATTTTCCCTTAAGCCAATCCATTGAACCAAGAAGAAGTGCACGTTTCAAGGCCCCATCTTCGTTTTGGAATCCGTTGAAGATGTTTTTTCGCTCTCAGATTGGTCGCTACTTGGCGCCTTTTGCGTACGCGGTGGTTTCTTCCAGTTATGGATTCAAAGTTGCGGTCTTCCTTAGCCTGGAACCAAGGGCGGTCAAGATTGAGGTTTCAAGTAGTTCAAAGGTTGAAATTTGGTGGATTGATATTCAGCCCCCTAGTATCTTAACCCATTAGCCATAACTATGAAACCCCCCATGGTTTGCCACATTTGCCAGTGGATACACCAATTTCTCTGATGCCTGTTGAGGTTGCTTGCTCTATTCCCTACTGGCGGTGCTTCGCACCCTCGTCAGGGCACCGTTCTTAGTGCTTTTGCCCATTATCAATTGGCTTTTCTCAGCAAAATTAATCTGATCATCAGTTGTTCGTGGTTGTTGCTCCCATCGTTGTTGCTTTATTTCGCATTCTTGTTGCTGATTCTTTGCTGCTCTCATCCCATTTGGTTTATGATCTCTCATCCCTTCTGAGTTCAATCAGTCAATCCCAGTGGATAGGCTTTTTGATGATGGATCATATCAGCCAGATCGCCATGATCGTTGATCCCTACGCATCTGGTCAGACTTGGTCTGAGGTTACATGAAGCCCCCCGCAATGGATGGGAACAAACAAAAACCAGTGGGTTTCCTCTGGAATTTGACCCATTGGTTTCATTTCCCATAGGTTGGTTGGTTGGAACAAAAAACCAGTGGGTTTGATTGAACCAATTGAACCAAGCCTCAGTTCCTATTCCCACCTGGCTTGCGACCGGCGCTTTCGCCTTTGAGGTGGAGGAGCCGCCCTCTCGCAAACAAGCGACCAATGGCGAGTCACGACCTACTGCCAGGCACCCAGATGGGAAGCTTCGCCTCCATGAGGCTCGGGGTGGCAGGTGTTTTGCCAGTATTTTAAGGGGTCTCCACCATAGCCCGTGTTTTGGCAGTGTATAGCTTTGCTAGCAAATCATTGACTTCATTGAGAGTACTTCTTTATTTTCATGGCTGGATGAGGATTTTTTACTTGACACAATTGACACATCTTGTTTTAGTGAAATGAAAATCAGCAACCAGTGTAGCTTCCTGCGATTTCTCAGCCTAGACAGCCTAGGTGGCTCAAAAGCTTCGAGGTCTTCTGCAGCAGGTGCATCGATGGTCATCGGATGTCTATGTCAATGGGATGCCAACAGACGGCAGAGAAAGGAAGGATTTGTAGGTTGGGGAATCAACAAACATGGCAATCTATCACTGGTTGGTGGTTTGGAACATTTTTTATTTTCCATAATGTATGGGATAATCCTTCCCATTGACTCATATTTTTCAAGATGGTTAAACCATGTTTAAAACACCAACCAGATCATGTTCAAGCACCTAAGCACCTAAGTACCTCTCAACGCTTGGGTTCCTCCACAGTGCCCAAATCAGCTGAGAATGGGTCAATTGTGACCCATCCCCGCTCGAAACTGGGCCAGATAGTGGATGGAGTGACCTCGCTGAAGCGAGATCGAGTCCTCCAATTGCTGATCATCAACACCTTGGTGCCTTGGTGGCTTCGGCGGGTTGGAGGGTTGGCCGATGGAGATCTGCAGGTTGAATCATGGAAGACATATTATCATCATTCTGAGCCTGGGTCGCTTTCTGTTCAAGAAGCCTTCTGTAGTTCATCCGCAATTTGGAATCTGTAGTGCCAAGTAGCTAAGCCAAACCAGCACAGAGTCCCTGCCAGTTGCACAGTGTTTTTGCTCTGAGGTGACAAATGTGCTGGGCTGAGAGGGCATCAGAGTGCAGAGGTGTGAACTTGTGGAAAGGCAAGCACTTGTAAGCTTTGCTTGTGATCTAAGGTCTTCCTGTACCCTTTGAATTCTGTACATTTTCCAGTTCTCTTCAAACAGTCAAGCTGGCATGTCTTTGGCTGATGGTTGTCTCATGGATGACCCAAGACATACCCAACAAGTGAAACAGATTGGTCTGGGATCCATTCTTGCTGGTACCTATACATATTCTTGTGGCACACACCCCCTATGGATTCTGTTGTCTCTCCAGACGACCAGGATGCAAATCCCACTGAAACCACAGGCAAAGAGCTTACCCCATCAAAATCATTCTCTGGGATAGGGACCCTTCATTGTTTTCAGCCCCAAATATCGGGGGTTTCCTGGACATGGTCCCATTTTAATCGTTGGGTTTCAGGGTGGCGGAGCGCGCCGACCAGCTTGACTTGAGCGCCCGGAGACCCGCGTCAACTGGGGTGGATTTACCATTCTGCGGCTATATAGAGGACGAACCCAGTTGGAAAAAAACACCAATAAAGGTGTGTGGAAGACATGTTGTGTATATCCAATTTTGTAAATTTGGAAGATATCTTCAAAGGTACAAAGCTGAGATTCCGGAGGATGCAGCCACAACATCAACATATTTGGGGATGCATTCCACCATTCAATGGGCTGTCTGTTGGCATCTCCTCAGGTGTTTGACTACATGCTGCAGAAGGTGATGTTCGCGCTGGACATCAAGAAGTACGCCTGGCGATTGGTTGACCCTTCTGGAAATGCCGACTTGGCCAAGGGGCATGCAGGGTGAAGGGAAACCATCGAGATTTCTTCTGTGAGCCACGGACCTCCAAAAGTCCAGAAGAATATGGCTGAATCCAGGCTACCAACATGAGTTCTGATCATTTCTGGTATCTGGTATCTATTCCCCCTTCACTTGGCTTGTGACATTAATTGGGACATGGTTTATGTAAAAGTAAACCATTAAAAACAGAATCGTTATATCCAGGATGGCGAAGATATTTCCCCCAGACTTCCCCCAATGGTCACTGGGCCACTGGGTGGCAGGAAAGACATGTGGAGAAACTACAATGCTTTGGTTTCCCTCGGCGGCGTTGTCGTGCCCTCAGCGCCAACGATGGGTCAAGGTTGGAAAATCACTTAACTTCTGGGGACACCTATCCAAGTTTGACCCAGATACATAATGATTCATATCTCATCACATCTCTACTTGTATGTTTTTTTGTTGATCATCATACATTTTCCCACATGTTTCCCAAGGTCCCCCTTCCTCTCTGCCAAGCGCTTTTCCAGGCAGGACCTTTCCTGTCCAACGCCTTGATTTACATGCTGGAGGCCTACTCGACGAACCACAAAGCTTGTCAACTGTGGGTCCTCGGTCTCAGTGTTTTGCTGAGCAATGGCTGCGTTCGACACATTTGTTAGTCTAACGGTTGAACAGTTGATGGCTGTAAGGGGTTGCGCTATCCAATGTGTATATATATATATATATCGTAGATATTTGTAGATTATCATCACCCATTATGGGGATTGCGATGTTAACCAAGCAGTATAATGAATGCCACTTGCAGATTTACCCCATCAGACAGACATTCTCAAAAGCTGCAGATGTCTTTTGGAGGTGCGGTTGTGACTGACAGCCTGTCCTTGAGAGTTTCATGACCAACATTGATCATACAGTACTATGATGTACTATGCCCATACCACTTCTACCTGGCATATGCCACCCTGCAACTTGATGATCCTACTTAGAGGTTATGGTTGGAGGCCAAGCTGCATCTGGCCTAGAGGGGCCACTTGCACATGAGGTCGGTGTCAACTTTGGCATCACTTCACAGATTGCCACCATGGCATTGCTGGCCGTGGTGGTGTTGGATGCTTAGAGTACCTTGCGGGGCATCCCGCGCAAGCTGGGCGAAGTTGGTGTTGAAGCTGGAAAGACAATGGTTTGCAAAAAAGGACAAGTTTGGAAGTTTGATGTATATGTATCTAGATTATATAGTTTGTGGATGTTTACTTTGATTCTGGACCACACTTGTTGGATCTTGTTCGTATGGCTTTGGGCTGCGCCTTGAGCCATGGCTACAGGATGCTCAGCGGCAACCTGGGTGCTGGCTCATTAGTATTCAATTTAGTGGGGAACCTCAGCTGTGAAGAAAAATCCTTGGAGGCGAAGTCAATCTCTTGCCAGACGCTGGCTTTCTTTTACATGAGAGTCAAGGGTTCATCAATTCATGACAATTCACCAATTCATCCAAACACATGAGGATCGCATATGAGGCTGTTTGCATGAGGCCATATTTGGGTACAGCTTGGTCCATTTTTTACTGGTTGTGACAGACAGCTGTTGGACGGAGGTTGGTGCGTGGATCTTGATGATTGCTGTGAACAACATTGCCTGGAGACTCAACCCTTTCGGCCCTTTAAAGCTGGGTGGAATGCTGGGAGGATCCTTGTGGTGTCTGAACAGTTTAGGTCAAAACGCAGAACACCTACTGGTGGAAGTTTGAAGCAGCGATTTATTTCGTTTCATCCTCCCATTGGTTTGGCCAATGGGGTAGCTTTCTTCACCATGGATCAGCTACAGGGTCACAACATCTTCAGAGCGTCATGGCTGCAGGTCACAACTTACTTCAACTCGATCTCGCAAGAACGGCTTCAGCACAAAGAGCGAGGCCGATTTATTGCCAGAGCCTCTGTCCTTCCTCTTGCGTTTAGCCGACAGACCCAGGAGGTTTTTGCGTACCACCAGCACAAAAACGTCAGCGTTGGGATGTGTTGGGACACTTTTGATTCTACACCAGGAGTGGTTTTCAGGCTGTACTTTTCAGACACTTTTCAGACACTTGCGGCACATGTGCCTTCCAAAGCATCGCATTTTTGAGGCCAACATCATGACAATTTTCAATCTGGGCAGCATTTGTGGAAGTTTGTTGTTTGGCTGGGCCGGGATCCTCAAACCTCAAGTACCCTGTGGCCGCAGCCACCGCCTGGTGCTCTTGAGAGGGGTTGCCAGGACCATATAAATACCATATCCAGCATATTCCTCCATCATCTGGTTGATTCTGGGGGCGCCCTTTGCCATAAACTTCTTGATCTCAGATGACGATCCCGACACCCATGTGACTCCGCCTTTGCGGAGGTCCTATCTGCCTATGACAACAGCGTGAGTGGATCTGTCCAATGCCTCAAAGGAGGAGAAAAGGTGGGTTCATGTGGACCTGGTGCCCTGGGTTTCTTTGAGAATTACCCTCTGGTAATTTGTTACATAGCAATTGAAAATGGCCATAGAAATAGTGGATTTTCCCATTGAACATGGTGATTTTCCATAGTTATGTTAAATTACCAGAGGGTATTGGTCAACCCCGAAAACGGGTGATTCATCATTTTCCAACTTGAAGCTGCGATGTATTTTGGGGGATACCCGATTTTCATCAACCTTTCAGACACATCCATCTGGGGGGGGCGATGTTGGATGTAATATTCCAAGCCCCTTGAGGCTGATCTGTTGGTTGTGGGATTGAAATCCCAGATGGGATACCCTCTGGTAATTTAACATAGCTATGGAAAATCACCATTTTTAATGGGAAAATCCACTATTTCTATGGCCATTTTCAATAGCTATGTAACAAATTACCAGAGGGTACACTTATGTACACCCCTGTGCTGTGTGTGAACTTCAGAGATCATCTCAGTCATAACAGTGGCCTCAGTATGTGGTACTCTCTGGTAATCAAATTTATGCCGATGGACAAACCACCATTTCTAGATGATTGTCCGATATTTTCCCATTAAAAGCCTCCCCATTCATAGTGGATTTCCAAGCTGGCTATGTTTGATTAAGGCTATACTAGTAGCTTGATATGTTGTCATCTGTTTCTGAGGTGAGCCTATTGATTTGTGGCCTGGTCATCAAGAGCGTTTTACTCGCCCGCGCCCAAGCGCCCCGGGCGCGCCCAAGTGGCGTGGCGTGGCTGGTGGTCGGCCGTGTGGGATCCCTGGCCCTCTCAGGTTCTGCTTCGAAAGGAAGGAAACGGAACCTTTGCAGGCCCCGTTATTTTAATAGAATTGGCTAAAGGGAAAATTTACAGGAAAACCCTATATTTGGTGGTAAAAACCATGGTTTCCTGTAGATTTTCCCTTAAACCAATCCATTGATATTTGGGTCAGCAGCTGAAAAGTGACATTGATTGCAAGGATGGTGATCTGTTTAATGTGTTGCTGGGGTGTGGAACCGAAAGGACGTGTCCAGACATTGCCAAACGATGCTAAATGCACTCAACTTGTTTTTCAGAGTAGAGTAGAAAAGCACCTACCCTCTGGTAAATTACAGGCAATCGACAAAGTCGCTCCTTTTTTTCAGAAATCTCTAGATTTAGTTGCGTCGAAGCTATCCCTGGAAGTCGTGCCTTTTTGGAAAACGCAAGCAAACTCTGGTGGTCACAGCGCAACCATGTTTTTAGGTGTTTTTCTTTTTTTCCTTGCGTTTAGCTTGGGGTTAGGTATTTAGTTATGCTTTGGGTAAATGTAGTTTTTGTTGCGTTCAGTTGTTTTTTTTCTTGCAGCTGCTTTCTTATCAGTGACTTCTGTACGTTCAACTGTATTTAGCAACTACTGTTCAACTGCTGCTCAATTGCTGGCTGTTGCTCAGTTGCTGCCGCTGGCTACTGCCAAACTGCTGCTGGATTGCTTCTGAACTCCTACCACTAGGCTTACGTCATTCCAAGTGACCTGAAGTCGTATCACACCTGCGTGCGCGCAGTGTTTCGTTTAGATTTTGATAGTTCTTTTCTTTATTTGACTGGCTGTTATTGATTTGAATACTGTTTCATCGCTGTGGGCAGTGTATTGTTGACATGATTCTACTTAACCCTGTATGGTATTGATTGCAATCTTTATGGTGGTGCCATTGTCAATAGTTCGGTGAGAGGCGTGCCCATTGAAACTGATCATATTTAGGTTCTGTATGGTTCCGTCCCCTGCTGAATCTGTGCCTGCTGGAATCTGCCTGCTTGTGCTCGGTTCTGCCCACTTGCGCTGGGTTCTGCGTGCTGCTGCTGGGTTCTACCTGCTGTTGCTGTGTTCTGCCTGCTGATGCCTGCTGCTGCCTACTGCTGCCTGCTGCTGCTGGGTTCTGGGTTCTGCACGCTTGTGCTGGTTTTGCCCGCTTGTGGCGGGTCCTGCCTGCTTGTGCTTGATTCTGCCTTGTGCTTCTGGGGCCTGCCTGCTGCTCCTAGGTTCTGCCTGCTGCTCCTAGGTTTTGCCTGCTGCTCCTAGGTTTTGCCTGCTGCTCCTAGGTTCTGCCTGCTGCTCCTAGGTTCTGCCTGCTGCTCCTAGGTTCTGCCTGCTGCTCCTAGGTTCTGCCTGCTGCTGCTGCTGATGCTCCTAGGTTCTGCCTGCTGCTGCTGCTGCTGCTGCTGCTGCTGGGTTCTGCCTTGTGCTGCTGGGTTCTGCCTTGTGCTGCTGGGTTCTGCCTTGTCCTGCTGGGTTCTGCCTTGTGCTGCTGGGTTCTGCCTTGTGCTGCTGGGTTCTGCCTTGTGCTTCTGGGTTCTGCCTTGTGCTGCTGGGTTCTGCCTTGTGCTGCTGGGTTCTGCCTTGTGCTGCTGGGTTCTGCCTTGTGCTGCTGGGTTCTGCCTTGTGCTTCTGGGTTCTGCCTTGTGCTTCTGGGTTCTGCCTGCTGCTGCTGGGTTCTGCCTGCTTGTGCTGCGTCAATGCGCGATGCCCCAATGTGCGCAGTATATTTTGCCTGTAGGCTTCCCCTTCATGTGATTCAACCTTCCGATTTTACTTTCCGGGAGTTTGCTGCTGCCAGGGCTCGGATCTCGTTTGCATCTCGTTTTGATCTCGTTTTTGATCTCGTTTTTCCAGGCTTAGATTTCCTGGTCCTTTCCCCTTCCCTGCCCTTCTTTGGTTGCTCTTTGGTATCTTTGGTTGGTGCTCTTGCCTTCCTCTTGCTCTCTTCTTTGGGCAGGTGCTGCTGTGGATGTTTGCTGCAGTTGGTCTCTCTCTTTGCTTGGTCGTTGTTTCTTGTCTCTGCCTGTCCAGTGCTGCTGGGTGGGAGAGGGATGAAAAAAAAACAATTACTTTTCTTCGAGTGATCCCCACCATGACATTTATACGTTTTGTTACTGGCAAATCTTCTGGCATTCTATCTGACATATCTTCTGGCATTCGATCTGGCATACCTTGTGGCATTCTATCTGGCATATCAGAACTCATTTTATCTGGCATATCTTCTGGCATTTTATCCGGCATATCTTCTGGCATTCTATCTGACATTCTATCTGGCGTTCTATCTGGCATATCTTCTGGCATTCTATCTGACATGCTATCTGGCGTTCTATCTGGCATATCTTCTGGCATTCTATCTGGCCGTTGAGGTCCAGTGGTGCTCACTGAGCTCGGAAGGTCCCAGGCTGAGGTCCAGCGGTGCTCACTGAGCTCGGAAGGTCCCAGGTTGAGGTCCAGCAGTGCCCACTCCTATCGCACGCCGGCAGTTGAGGTCCAGCAGTGCCCACTGCATGCGGAAGTTGGCGAAGAGTTGGCAAGGCGGACGGCAGTTGAGGTCCAGCTGTGCCCACTGCATGCGGAATTTGGCGAAGAGTTGGCAAGGCGGAAGTGGACATGGAAGTGGATGCAAAGGTGGTGGAGGAGAAGCTGGAGGAGAAGGAGGAGGAGGAGATGAGGAGGAGGAGGCGGAGGAGGAGAACAACTGTGATAAAATCTAACAACCCTCACCTGGCAGGTGGGGAAATAGGGATCAGAAAGAACAAATAGGGCTCAAAAAACAAACAAGGATCAAAAAAAACAAAACGAGAAAGGAAGGAAGGAAGGGGCAGGAAGGAAGGAAGGAAGGAAGGAAGGAAGGAAGGAAGGAAGGAAGGAACCCAAGTGGTGGGTGCTGTTGAGGCACATCAGGCGCATCACGCGACATGCAGGTGAGTAGGAGACAAGTGGGACACACGTGGAGACAAGTGGGAGACAAGTGTAAAACATTGTATACCCAGGCGGCCCAGAGCAACCAGACCGTACTCGGAGATCATGCCAGGAATGCAAGCCCGGAGGCAGAAGCAAAATAATGCGACCCAGGGCCCGGGACTGCAACCTTTTCAAAGGAGTAAGAACTTACAAACTGCATTGGCCTCTGTCTGTGTGAGAGGGCCATAGCTACCCAGTATCTATTTACAGAATTCTTATTGAGAACCCCATACAGATAAACCTGTTTGGGGAAGAAAGTGGGCAAAGAAGAAACAGTGAATCGCAAGCACAGGGAAGAGAAAAGAGGGTGAAAGTGAAAGGTTCTGATTTGGAAAGGGTTATTTTGAGGCTTGCGTTCTGAATGGGGGAAGGCCCAAAGGCATGACTTAGGCATGACTTCTTGATGTTGCGTTCACAAGCGGGGAAAGCGAAAGGAGTGACTTAGGCATGACTTTGTCTAACCCCTGTAACATAGCTATGGAAAATCACCATTGTTTATGGGAAAATCCACTATTTCTATGGTCATTTTCAATAGCTATGTAACAAATTACCAGAGGGTAACCAGAGAATCCTCCCCGAAAATTGGGACAGAGGATGGCTACTACCACAGTTTTTTGAGGTAAAAAAACGAGGCCGCGCCAGCACGGCCATGGAACGCCAAGCTGGGTTAGAAATTACGTTGAGTGGGGCACCGATAAAAAGTCAGCCCAAAATTAATGCCACCACTGGCATCCTGATTCCTGATGCAGTTCTGAAGTACTGATCTGCATAGTTTTGGATAACCAAAATATGTCAAGGTGAGAGTTTTTGCTTTGTCTCTCTGGCTCGGCTCAAGTGGAACACATTTTTTGTTTGCGAAGCTCCCGGACTGCTCTACCAATGGCAACCAGTGAGGATGCCAAGCGGAAACGGGAGGATGAAGCTGAAGTCGAAGCTAAGAAGCTGTGCACTTCGTGCCTGGGCGATGGTGATCGAGTCGAACCATCACAATTGCAAAGAGGATATGGACATAATTGGGATGTTATAAGATTATTGGGATATTATTTATGAATATCTATCTATCCATCTATCTATCTATCTATTCTAATCATATCTTATCCAATCTTATCTTATCCTATCTTTTCTTATCCTATCTTATCTTATCTTATC